CCGTTTGGGTCGAAACACCGCCCTATCCGCGGTGACGCTATCAGCCACGATCAACCGATACACGACGGAAACATGCAAACGAACGAAACATATGCAGACAGGATCGACGAGGACTATGAGGAAGATGATGAAGAGCAAGCCGACACTCAAGACGACGAAATTATCTTGGTCGACGATGACGACGATGAGGCGGACGAAGATATGGACTTGGACGACGAAGAAATTGTTCGATCGCCTTCTCCACCGCCGTCTAATTTAGAACAAGCACATCAGGAACCCAACGATCGAGCGACGGTACACGTGCATGGCCCCATTCAAACGGTGAACCTGACGAGTTTCCTGGAATCACCCATTGTCGCCGCTCCAAGCATCCGGCCACCGCAGCGCTACTCTGTTGGGAGTTATGACAACACCAATGGATCATCTGGTCGCCGGCGGTTCAGTCTACCTCGTGCGAACTTTCCGTCAACACTGGACAACTCCCGAAGGAGCAGCATCATGTCGACGGGGAGCTCGGTGGACTACACTCGGCAATCCCCCACCCGGCGCTTCAGTTTTTCGAGTCCAAGTACCATCCACACCCAAAGCACTACTGCAAATCCAGGAGATGTTCAGAGCTCTTCCGACGAAGGTGCCGCCACCTCGTCGGACGCGAACCCATTGACGTGGGACTTTCGGAGATTGCGATAGCCATTCACTTGCTCACGTCCCATTTCCTTCGCAATCCACAAGGTAACACGAGTAAATTTATTAAGTCGTCGACGCGTCGTCGAGACACAAAAACTGGTGCACGATAGGGTGGTTCCACAGCACAGCCGACGAGCAGATCACTTGCAGCGTCGCATTCAGTAGCTGGATGCGCTCGTCCAACCGAGCCGAGCCAATCTTTGTCGAGTACACCAGCTTCGATCCTAGCGCACCCGGTGTAATTCAGTCCATGAAACCATGAATTGCAAGCAATTGTACGGATGGTCTGGAGCTCGTTGGGGAGGCCTCCAGGAAGGGCGCTCAGCTTCGTCAACAACAGCTTGATGTCGTGGTAGCGCCGGTCTACTTGAAAAGTTGCCCCACGGACGCCAGCGTCGTCTCCACCACCCACTCCGGAAACGTTTTCTCCCGTCGTGCACTCCTGAGGATGCAAGACATTTCCATCATCAACCTTTTTTCATGACACGACCGACATGACACGAACCTCCTGGTGCTGCGACGCATCGGATTCATCGTTGTCTTTGGCATCGTCGTCGACACTGCCCTCCTTTGCATTTCCCAAGTCGCTCCATTCAGTGGGTTCATGTTTGCGTTCGGCGGTCACCCCGCCTTTTTGCCGCCACGACGGTCCAAACCAAGACTTCCGGCGATGTGGAGACGACGAGGATGCACCTGTCGCTCGCTTTGCCTGCGACGTGAATGTCTTCCACAGCGACTTGATCTCGTGGTCGTCAGGCGAAGTCGTGTCCTGGGTTGTGCGACCTTCCGACAGCTTCTCTTTGGCCCCAAACACATTGAGCGCACTCGGAGATAGCTGGACGAAGCGATGCCCCGGGGCAAACACGCTGATGGTGTACTCGACGTGGGTCCCGCCACCTGTCGACGCTGACGCCTCACTACAACCACGGTCGACATCCTTTTCAAGTGGCTAGCAATCGTCCACCTACCGATACGACGTGGCATACGCCGTGTATGGCGCAATGGACGCGTCGTCAGCGCGTGGCGTCTCCATTAACGATGCATCCTACCGCCAAACCTGTTAGAAAACCATATTGCATGCGCAGCTAGCCAGCCAGAGCGTTGTCGAACTGGACAGCTCCCAGCAAGAAATGGACGGACCTGGTCTTTCCATGTGGACTGAGATGGCGTGGACCACGTGGGATACACTGCCGTTGATGGAAACAACTGCCGGCGAATCGCTAGCTCGTCGTCTGTAGGCGGCCCGGAGGACGTCGTGTGGCTGAGGATGTGCGCTTTCGTCAAGACAGATTCGATCAAGTCCCGCGATCGCAACGAATCATGCGTGCCTAAGGTGCATGTCGTCACGGAGCTATCCGACGTCGCCGAGACGACGTTCATGGAGCGAGACGGGTGGAAGCGAGTCTACCTGGAAACGACACTAGTGTCGTCTTGCTGTCTCCATTGTATGCTTTCAAGATCGACTCGCTACATCATGGCGCGCGTGAGACGCATCCATGCTTTTCATCTTTTTCATCCACGCCGTGGAAGGCCATGCGGGACCAACCCACCTGTGGCGAAGGGGCACAAACGAGTCCTGCATGCCATGCACAAACACGGAAGGTACGATCGCCTTGGAAATGCACTCCCGCGGGGCGACGGCATGCAAGTCAAAGCCAGCCGTTCGTTTTATGGTCGACCGAAGCAGCGCGATGCCCGCCGACACGACGAAGGACGGAATTTGCCACCCAATATCGGACGACTGTGCTGTTGTCACCTACGGCCCAAATATGACGACATGCCACGCAGCTAGACGTACCATGTCGTGCAGGACGGTACTCAAGTCGATGAATGCTGTGTCCAGCACCATCCATGGAATGAACGACGTCGGGCCGGTTCCACGACTGGTGGATGGCGGAATCGGTCGGCCGCGGCGAAGCCCGCACAACGTAACTCTCGTGTCGGGCGACGCTTCGGCCAGCAGAGACAAGACGTGCCCACTGGTCTTTCCCCGCACGTCGCGACCATCGACAGCCACGAGCATGTCCCCAACGGCCACGTCCGCATCTACGTCGATCGATGCGTCAAAGGATTCCTTTTCGTTTCGAGGGACGTACAGGCACTCGTTTGTGACGACGTGACCACCATGAGGTCATCTCCACACAGCTCTTGGACGCCCAAGTCGACCGACTTGAGCGGCACCGACGCCTACGTTTCAGCACCACACGACCATGACGATGCAGCGTTCAAAGACGGGGCTCCACACCGAAATCGTTTGAATCGAACCACCCTGCAACAACATCAACGCAGCATTCGCCCCCATGCACCGCCCCCAAATGTGCACCGACTGAAATTGGCCACACCGGAATTTGTGCAGAGCCTTGAGCATGACCCACGCGTCTTCGTGCTCTACGACGTTGTCGACAGGACGCACAACCCGAATGATGTGTATACCTGTAAGCCCCATCGAAATGTATTTCCCGTCCGACAGACCCGATCCGCGGCAGTCCATGGCGGCAAACGCATGGCCCATACGCAGCACTGGCCCCAGGAGCGCAAGCCCTTCGACTCTCGACCCGCTGATGCCATGCAAGTACAACACGCACGAATTCTATCTCGTCTACGGATGACAAGCGTTCGATCGAGAAGATGGAAGTACCCGGCCCGTGTCACAGTCCCACACGCTGCAGCGCAATGCTTCATTCTGCGCCGTCAAGATCGTCAGATCGAAACGTGATACTTTTGTCCCGTCGTCTGCGTCAAAGCGTGAAGGGCCTAATGCGACGCTCTCCGAGTACTCATGTCTAGAACATGACCTTCCTTACGCATCATGGTGCAAGAAAGGATGCACCTACCGCGGCGGTCGAATGATCGTGTGTACGATTGTGTCGTAGCCGGCCTTGAACATCTCCCACGAACTCGACGACGACGTGGCGGCGTCCATGGCGTGCATTTCGCCTTCAAGCTCCCCCGGCGCAAACACTTCGAACGACGCCCCCGCTCCCATCTCGTCCTCTTGTCGGCCAGCCGTTTCACCGTTTCGAGATCCGCCGCACATCGGGTTCGCCGTCCCATGACCAAAGTGCCTCGTTGAGCTCGACGTGGTTCACAGCGAGATGGAATGGTTTCTAGCATGTTATCTTTACGACATCTCGTGCGCGACGTGTGGAGGTCCTGGTCGACGGCACCACTTGCCACGGGGCTAGAGATAGATGGGCGGGTCAGCATCGTGCACGACGCGTTTGTCATCACGTAATGACGTCAACTCTGCTTCAATGGTTCTCTAACTTGTCTACTTAGGCGCCTCGAGGCTTAGGCCCTCCCGCGGCCTTGGCCATGATAATCTGGTCTACTCGCAGCACCGTAATGGCAGCGTCCGCACCCAGGCGCAGCGCCGCCTTCTTCGTTTCCAAATGATCGACCACATTCGCCGCCAGCATGTTCTCCACCACACCCGTCTCGCTCTCGCATTCGACGTCGACGCCCGCGTTGGGCTTGCCCGCACCATGGGCCGCGTACAACGATGATATCACTTGGGTGCCTTGTTGGCCTGCGTTTTCGGCGAGCATTCGAGGAACAATCTCGAGCGCTTCCGCAAACTTCTTGATCGCATATTGGTCGAGCCCGGGGGTTGTGTTGCCAAACGCTTCGATTTGACGGGCCACTTCAATCTCGGTGGCACCGCCGCCCGCAACGAAGCGACCGTCTTTGCATGCCGCCTTGACTGTATTCACACCATCATCTATTCGATGCACACAACGTTTTCGTCAATGTCGCGGCTGGTGCCGTGCCAAATGGGCATCATGGTGGGCTCGCCCAACCAACTGCATGAGGTGGTAGGGGACCCACGCACGAGCTGTAGCCGCCTGGTCTTTTGCAAAGAAACCCGACACCACAACACTTACCAATGGCGCGTTCGAGGTCGTTCAACACGTTGTCTGTGCTCGCACGCAGGATGATGGTGGCCATCTTGGCATCCTCTTCATCTTGCCGAAACACGGTGATCTTCTTGCCCCCGACTTCTTGGACCGCTACGTGGTCGCAGAACCCCATCTCTTCGGGGGTCGGCGCGCCTAACCGGACGAGCGCGGTCGCGTTCACGGCGCGGCACAGCCGGCGCAGCTCCCACTTGCTTTGGATACGGATCGACATCAAGTTGTACTTTTCCAGAAAATGCAGCGCCATTTCAGAAATGGACCCTCCAGCAATCACGACGGTCGCGCCGCTTTCGGAAATGGCGCGAATCGCTTCGTCCAGGCGCTGTTCTTCGCCCTTGTTGTAGTTCATCAGTTCGTCCGCGGTCTTGATGAGCACCGTCGACTTGGCCTCTGTCGAGCTCACTTCGATGCCACACCCAAAGACCGCAACCTTGGCACTCTCTGCCTTCTTCACGCTACCTTCCGTGTCGCGCTGGACAACCATGCCCTTCACAACGCGCGAGTCAAACACGTTGCCGCCCATGATCTTGGTCACGCGGATATTGTCCACGTTGACTTTGGGGGCCTTGGGCTTGTTCGGGAACACGTTCAAGCAAGCTTCTGCGATCAACTTCGCCAGTACATCTTCGTACCCGTATTGTTTGGCACCGACGACAGGTCGGATGATCTTTTCGAGTTCGGCTTGGTTGCGCAGATCGCGAATCGTGTGCAGTTCCAACGTGTTCAGAATTTCGAGCGCCTTTTCGTAAGCTTTCTTGTACCCTGTGACAATTTCAGACGCATGGAGGCCCATGCGCAAGAGGCCGGCGGCTTGCATGAGCAGTTCGCCGGCAATGCTGACGACCAAGTTGGTGGCGTCGCCATACTCGGTTTGTTGCATCTTGGCCGCCATCACGACCATCTTGGCAGCGGGATGAACAACTTCCAGTTCCTGCACGATCGTGGCCGTGTCGGACGTGACAAAAATCTTGTCCAAGTGGTTAATCACGAGTTTTCGCATGCCGTTGGGGCCAAGCGATGTGCGCGAGATATCTGCGAGCTGCTTGACGGCGTCAATGTTCTTCGCAACGGCCTCATCCACCCCTTCAAAGTGCTTGTGTCCTTCTTTCAGGAGGCCGGACAGCCCCGCGGCCGGATTGAAGCCCATGGATTTCGCCATCTTGGTCTGTCTGTGGTGGGGGGAACGCTATGAAGGATGGAAACAATTCCTTTGATCCATTGAACGGGGAATATCCATTTCCAAGGAATGAATATCATTTAAGCAAGGTTATTCCGTTTCAGAGGCTTCTCGGGGTTTCGGGGTTTCGAAACCTTCATGCTTTGTAACCATTCGACCGCAAATGCACCTACAACCCATCCATGAACACGACATCATGGCCAGCACAGCTATACACACTCGAAGCTGCAGAATGACTTCGTCGTCGTGCGACAAGTATGGAAAGTCCCCCGCGGTCTTCATCAGTGCCTTCTTCGCTTCTGGGTAGCGCTCGTACATTTGTTCCCGCAGCTCAGTCGTGAACTCGTTGTTGCCGCCGTAGGACTACATAATGAATGGTGAGAGACAAAACTCGTGGAGAGTCGAACGCGTTCTTCCACCAGGCAGGATTCATGTTCACATCAGTGCGTTCAGCTCCACGTACGTCGATGAGCGTCACCCGAGTGTGTGGGATGCTGATGCCCCAGTTCAGATGGTCACTCGACAAACTGACAAGAGTTAACCGGGAGGCTAGCTGTAGTTGCGTCAAGCTATCCAGCTAAAACACAACCATTCATACAGCACGGCAAAGTTTTCCTTCACCTCGGATGACATGTACGCCATCGTGGCGCGAACGACGTCAGACGTGCCATCATGGGAAAAGTTCCCCACAACATATCTACACGTTAAGAACGGTAAGTCGTAGGCTTGGGGCGGTCGCTGTACTTTTTGAGACAAAACGTTGGCAGCATCGGGAGCCTATGTGCGTGGATCTTAATGGCGAGCGTACTAGTTGAAACGCGATACATTTTAATGCAAGGCGAGTTCGCACCAAATACTTTGGTGTTGCAAAAGCCGTTTGTGAGCGCGAGCGAGAGCACTCGACGAGGGTACACAGCGCAGTACTTCTACAAGCCTCGTGTGAGATCGATGGAGGTGGGGATGACATGCTAACCTGGGCAAGGAATGCGCCGAGACAAACGCCATAAATGTGAACCTGGCACGAGCTACGTCATTGCGACTTTGCCGACCGGATGTAATGGTACCGAATGCAAGTGCAGCGCATCCAGAAGGCGGTCAAAGCTGTGCACCCATTCTTGATGGTTCCACACAACGGGATGTTGAATCTACACGTTGAGAAGAAGCAATAAATCTGCCTTCGTGGAGTGAAAGCATGTCGGTGTGGACATACCGCAATCACGCGGTATCCCCCAGCTAGTTGCAGGGCCGAGATCACTCGATGGAAGATCAAAGGACCACCAATTGTGCCAGGAAGGCACACCAGCGGCGTGAGTGTGCGGTCACCGACGTCATATAGCTCCCATAACTTCCCGTCGTATGTCGTGATGCGCTGCTTTGCCACTGAGCTCAGGAATGCGTCTTCGCTCGCTTTCAGGTTGGCCATCTCGATGGAACAGCGCCTTCGATTTGTTGCAATGCCGAAAGGTCACACTATCGCATATCCGGATAATATTATGCATTATCCGAAGGTACATCATCAGAATCAGCTCAAGCTGCAAAGCCGACGGCAGATGCAGCGGCCAAGACGGCGTCCACCACGCAGATGGATGTATCGTAGAGAACGAAGATGTGCCCTCGGACACATGCAACATCAATTGGCGTTGAGCTCATGGATGGCTCGTGCTTCTCGTGTCGAAACTTGACGACGTCGAATTCAACTAGTTCTGTCGAGGTTGTGCCGCACACAACCGCAAAGTTCGAGCTGCCGACGTCCTTTCCCTCTGGTATGCAAGTGTATCAGACTCCACAAACAGTTCATTGGCTTTTTTACCTTGACGCCATGCACTACTGACGATCTTGGTCACTCGAAACCCAACCTGGTCGTTCGTGCTGGTGAGTCCCCTGCATGCTTCATGAGCAGGACATACCTCGACAATGGGATGCAACTGGATTGAGTATACCCCTTCGGCCGTTTTCAAAGTCGTGAGCTTGTACACGACCCTTATCACATCATCGCCATGAGCATTCCCATGGCCATGAAAACCTTTTGATCGTAGGTACCCGTTATCGCTACCACAAAACACCGTGGATTCTAGGGTTTCGCTCGCCTTCGCCTCCTGATCGCTCGAACTCCAAACGCACGTAATTCGCGATGGCGCTGGCACGGTGGCAACGACGTGGCCGTAGTGCGTAAGCAGCAGCTCAGGTCGACCCAAGCTATCGACAATGCATGGGTATCGGAATTTAACACATATGTCCATGTACCTCACGGCCACGTATGAGCAAATTTGATCGGCACAGTCCAGCAATCGCACCGATGCCAGTGCCGCCACTAGGATGACAAATGTATCAAACGAATGCAAGAAGGACCAATTTACCATAGGCTGCTGTCGACACCGAGTCCATGGTCATGATATTCGAGGGTATCCCAATGTCCATACGTTTGGTCCACCGCACATTGTACTCGTCCACACCCATCACATTCCCGACCAAATCGCCTAGAACGAAAGTGCCACCGTGCCAAGTAGCACTGACAACGGCTGCTTCCATCTCGTATCGGCGCATTTCCATGCCCGTGGCAACTTCGAGCAAGACAACTGTGCCGTTGCCGTCGCCAAGCACAACCATCGAGCCATGTACATGCAGACACTACATTCACTTCAGACAAACCCGTCGAGTGGCATTTCCAGGAGCAACAGCGGCTTACCGAGATGCTGTACGCCGTCGCTGCGACTTCCCAATCGGCTGCATTCTCATCAAACGTGATATGCTTGAAATGGGAGTTTCCACCCACAGATGCCATATAACGCACACACTTGACCTCACCAAAGGACGTGCCGAGCACAAAGAGCTCGTCTTCGGTTGACACGGCCGCGATCGCCGTGAACATCCTTGGACCTCCGTTGCAACAATGCTTGATCCGATTCGGAAAATTGGTGTTATCCGGAAATATGCAGCGTATCCGGTGTGTCAATTTCAATTTCTTCGGACGTTGGTGACGCCACACTTCCTCGATCTCGTCCGTACTCCCTCTTGCGACGTTGGTAGGATGTTCATCATGCAGCGTGCATTAGGTGGTTCAAAGAGCGACTCCTCAAGCTGCAGAAGGTGCTACGCCGTGCCTGGACACCGGTGGCGGGGTGACAACGCCAGTTGCACGACACGTCGGACACGAAAGCTGTTGGTTCAAAGCCTCCACGATGCATTCGTCGTGGAACACGTGGCCACATGGGAGGCATGTCACACCATAGTCAGCGACCTCTTTCGCTTGCGTACACAGCGCACATGTCACGATGCAAGGGGGCACTGTGACCAATGCATTGGTTGTCGAGCCGCCTTTCGCAGGTCGATGAACATACAACTTGGGGTTGTCCACGTCACGCAAGATAAAGTCCACAACGAGGCGAGGTACGCTCTCCGTGGCGTGCGTACATGTTTGTCGATGCCGCCATCGAACAAATTGCATCAGGTCATGAAGAAGGCCTTCATGGGTCTCGACCTTCGCCGCCAACACAGCTGGATGGTACCGTGAGTGGAAGCCCCATGACTCCAACATGGGTTGCGAAGGGGTTTTGGACTGGAGGTCGAAGAAGAACCACGGACAAACGCCATCGCATACATGCCCATAGGCCAAAGCCGCGCAAACATCTAATCGCAATTTCTCAAATTCCTCGTCGGTTTTGGCAACGTTCGCACGGGCATTCGTGATTCGGTTGAAGACGTGGATCGTGTAGGATGGTGGAAGGGAAGAATCGGCGAGGGGCAATGGCAACGGACTCGTGACAGTGAGGGAGATGGTCTGGAGAAGGTCTTTGTGTGAAGCACATGGTGACTCCACGGGAAGCGTTGCTTGTGCAAGTGTTTCCAGAATTGGCGAGTAGTCAATACCCGGTTCAAGGGTGTTGACCAGATTGACCGGCACGTCAGAGGCGTCGTCGTCGTCTGGTTCCCGCGCATCAGTGGCCCACACCGACGCCACGATGTAGTCCTTAGTGTCCTGGACGAGCGACCCGAGCGCCTCGGCGATCCATCGCGCTGCCATCTTCAACGTTGGAAATGCACCAACGAATTCTGCCACATGTACGAAAATAAGTTTGGAAAAGTATGTGATACTAATACTCGAAGGTATTTTTTCAATGCATTACATTCAAAAAAAGTTTACAAAAATAGGCTCTCAGAATTCTTACATGTGCGATCCACCTCTGCAGCAAATCGAATGCTCCAACCACTAAGGCCGTTGGTGTCCGAGAGCACTCGGGGGGGTGAACTCGACTGGCGGCATGAGCGGAAGCATGTAGGATGCCCGATGGCGAGGCTCTTGCATTGTTTGTGTAGGCGAATCGAGTGACTGGTTTGGTCTACTTGCAATAGTTAGATTCGCTACAAGAACTTGGCCAGCCATCCTCCATGACAAACACATCGTCTTCGTCCTCCGAGAGGCGCTGAGTACGTCGGTGGGGCCTCGGTTTGTGAAAACAGATCACTCCTATTCCCACGGCGACGGTGACTGTGACTGCAATTGTGACTGTGATGGCTGTAACAACCAACCGTCCAGTTGCCGCTGGCACATCCGTCGACAATGAATCCATCGGTGGCCCGTGGTCTCCCATTGTCGGCATGTAGTCTAATGGATGCTGTCGTTGTCTTGAAGTAGATGCATTCGATGGGATAGACCTTTTTGTCCCGTTGAAATAGCGCATTGTGATATCGTTCAAGCCAGGTCCTTGCAATCCAGAGGGAAACGACAACACCACCGCCGCTACCTCGTCCGTAGGCGCCACGCAAGTGAAGTCACCGACGGTGAAGTTGTCGAAAATGGAATGACTGCACAGGCTGACCCCTCGTCTTCTACAGGCTACCTCGTCGTCCCATTGGAACCGTCGGACAGAGCCCAGCAAATGTTCGATATGCCCTTTCGCCTTGCCATCACGTTGAGGCCAGCATGGGCAACTCGATGTGCTGCGGTATGACAAGCTACGAAGCGTACCAGCGGGAAGAAGCACTAAAGGAAGGCGCCCACTTCCGCCGCCACACGGCGCTCTTTGGCATGCTGCCGACAACTGATCGCATCTTTCTCCGCCTCAATGCCACCGGCACTCGGTAAATCCGTTTGAATCCCGTCCGAGGCATCGTCCACGACACAGTTTTCGATTCAGTTCCGATTGAGACCTCCACGCATGGATAGTCTCGAATGGACACTGGTCGACGAGCCATCCGACGTTGCTCGCACCGAAGCGATTCACTTGGACCACGTCGCCAAGATCATGCCGACTGGTACGGTCTTTGCAGCCCATGGCTCTATCCCAAACGATGCAAACGTTTCCCGAAAAGTCATTTTGGCTGTGGTGTTGGCCAGGCAAAACCGCCTTAATTATGTACGCTGCGTCGGGCAAACGGATGCTCGAGATCACAGCCAAAGATGCCGCTGTGAGGGACCTCTGGGTATGAGCAGCAAGCATTTTCATTGTGAGTCGTGGGTGACGTTGTGCCCCCCCCAGGCGCGGACGCTGATGGACGTGCTCGAAGCGAGGGGTGTAGTCTTCACGTCCAGCGAGCTCAGCACTGTCGAGAATGAAATGCGGAAGCAAGAGGCCCACGACAAGCAAGTACGTCCAAGAAGCTGTCCAGCTCCCGCAACGAGTTGCTTCAATGTTGGATTATGGTAGGCCTACTGGCGTGATCGGACCGAGACGCTTGCACTGCGCCAAGCGCTGGCGGCAGAAAAGAAGAAATCGTTTGCGAATGTTGGGATGCGGTATACAGCGCAGGCCATGGCGAGTCGTTGAGATCGATCGTGTTATTAACATGTGCATGCGGAAACGTGGATGTTTCGAAGCTATTTGCCTCCAAAAAAGGTCATGAGCGCGCGGCGCGTGGCGGTGGGAGTCGACGTCGCGCTGTCCTTGGCCATCACACCGACACTGACAGCTCGTTTCACGATTTCTACGTCGTTTCACAGCTTGAGACGATCGAGTGTTGATGGAGAAGTCCCCGCCTTGCACAAGATAGAATCAAACAAAACGTACGGTGACGTGGGCTCACACATGCCACGGGACGTTCGACAATGTTGTCTTCGATCAAGTCAAAGGTCGTCGATGGGACCAGCACGTCCAAAAGATCCCGAGGCGCTTTGTCAACTTCGTCGACAACGCCGTGGGTCGATCGCACCTCGAGCGAGCCTTTCCACACCCGAGAGGTTGTGTCGAGACAGCATGAAATGGTCGCGCATACGCACTCGTTCCACTTGGTCCACGTCACGAAAGACATCTACCGCCATGACCATTCCTTGCTGTAAATGTGGTGGGGCACAAAATGGACCACTCGAACGTACGTGGACGAGAAATGGGGTATCCATGCTCGCGTCGGCAACAAACGCGACTTTGACGTGGTGGTTAGGCACCATTTTTTTGCCTTGGGTGGCCTGGATTTTGTATATCTTGTTCGCATCCGCACTGCGTCGGATTCCGTCAGCCAGACACATCCGTGTGCTTGGTCGAAACTGCGCCTCACCTTTGCCATGACGCTTGAAAGTATGGCGCTGTCCAGAGGGTCGGGTCCGGCAACGTAAACATCGCGTCAAACGGAATGTAGTACGGATTCGAGAGGCCCATGCTTGTCGGCGGCATCTCCGCTACGAAGTGGTGGCGGCTACCACTTCACACCTCTCTCATCTAGGGCGGGAGGACGTACGGGAAGATGGCTCGACGACCAAGCGAAACAAAAACTCGGCGCGGGAAAACCGGAGAAAGCGAAAGAGTTTCTCGGACTTGAACATGCCGTGGGGTTTGACTTCGCCCGTTGCACGAATGTGCATATTGTTGGACGTGTCGACAAGCTTGACTGCGCCTTTGACGCCAACCCCGATCCTACCCCAGCAATTTGAACGATGACCTTCCAAACGCTCTCTCGAGTTTCGTACGAGAAATCGCTCCACGGGACGTTGGTCACATTACAACACGTCACACAAAGCGCGATTTCCTCGGGGTGGTCGTCCGGCTCCCGGTACGAGATTTTGAGGCACAGCGGGTCACATGATCCCGACACAACCGTCTCGACTTCTTCTTTCCACTTGACTGGCGCTTGCTGTGGCATGTCTACGACCAAGTGAACTCACGTTGCGACCGTCGTGGTCCTCGGCGACCTCGTACCCATAGATCGAGATGGGAAGAGCGACGCTGGAGAAAACAAGCCAGGTAGGACAAACGCCGACGAGAAGCCGAACCGCTCCCGACGCGCCATGCCTGTGATCTCTTCAATCGTTTCGACTGCACTACGCTCACGTTGTGTCGTTGTCACGGCGGTCAACAGCTCAAGCTTTTGACTCAGTCAAAGGAATGCAGGAGCCATAGCAACTTGGCCGCACAATCCGTTCAAGTCGTACGTGTCCGAAACGAAGCGGTGGAAATTGTTTTGGGTGCGCACGTGGGCCAGCACCTGCACTGCACGTTGCTTGAGTGACCCGTCCTTGGCCAACAGCCATCGAAGGCACAGAAGGAGAGCATTGAATCGAGGGATCAAGTGTGCATCGACCGTGCGAACGTTCTTGGTGCCACCGCCCAAAATCCCGTCGTCGTAGGTTGTGGAGGGCCGTCCTGACCCGTCCTACGGCATTTCGTGGGCCGCGTAAACGGAGTACGTGCGAGATAGTATTACCTTGGACGATAGAAGACCCAGCAACTCGGTTTCGACCCACGACATGATGGGAAGCTGTGTTGACGACACGAATTTGAGCCCGAGCCAGTACAATTGCACGCGAACGTTGGCCGATGGGACTTTCGGCGCCAAGGGCAGCACGACGTTGTGGAGGAAATCGAGCACCGGCGGCGCAGCGCAGCTGTCCTGGCACAGCTGTGTTAAAAGCGCTGTAAACAAAACAAGCGTGGCGTTGCGGAGGTCCGTCGTGGACTTATTGGCGAGCACAGCCACGAACTGTTGCAGCACCACGAGGCGGGCGTGGGGTACATTTGCATGCGTGCAGAAGAGTAGCGCTTCGACGAGCGATCTGAATGTTTCATACGCCGCATTCGTCTTGCCTTTCGCCTACACAGCATGGATGGTCAAGGCGTCAACTTTTCGTTCGCGTGAGAGCATCCTTACCTGCCCCAAAGGCAAGCCGTGGAAACACGAGCTCGTGCAGATCGACTGCAGTAGTGGAAACTGGCGCTTGCGGCACACGCGAACGAGCATGGCTTGACAGAGGTCGTACATCAAGCCGACTCGAGTTCTGCATCGAGGAAAAGTGACAATTGCATTCGGCGTGCGATTGTTTGAAAGCCAAAACCCTCACGGGACAAGAGATGGAGCAACGGGGGACTTACGTCACGTTGTCGAGCGCGGCGATCGAATCGATGGTGGACCCGACGACATTGGCAAAATCAAACGTGTTGGTCGCGTCCAGGAGCAGCAATTGGATTCGAATGACATCTTGGCGTTGCCGTGCCATTGTCGACGAGTGGATGATGGCCGTGAGCCTTGTAATGAGGACCGACGACCATTTCCACTGGTTGTAGTGCTGCAAAGGATGTTGCATCACGATTGCAATGGCTTCGCAAATGGAAAACGCTTGCGTCAGCGATGCATTTCTACAACACTCTCAACACACCACCCCATGTTGCGGCACTGCTGATCGTACACGTATGCTGGGAGACACCACGACTCGACCATGTCGGCGGCGACTAGATCAGCACGCACTTTGACTGTTGTCTTCGCATCTTGGTCTTCTATGGTCATAACAACGAAACCGTGGGCACAGGAAGAATTGTTCACGAGGATGGCTCGGCTCGAGTCGTACCGAGGGCGACAGCATCCAGTTCCATCATTGCGATTGCGATCCCAGGGGTGCATGCCCCACTCTTCTGCATCATCATGTACGCTACCATACTCAGCCACTTCATCGCGTGGAGATGTGACTCCGTCGGAAGCGTTTGCGCGTTTGCCTTGAGTACGTCAAACCGGGGGAACGCTTGCGGAAATATCCACGCAACCAGTTCGTCTAACCCGCTTTCCTGGCGCGGCTATGACATGGTAATCCGAACTGAAATGTCCTTTGTATCGATGACAAAGTGTATATGACATACGTGGTGGCTGGAGAGACTGCGGATGGCATGGCTGCGACTGAAGAGATGCGAGAGACTTGCGAACGCCACAGCCGCGACCTCGGGGGACTCGACCTCAGCGGCTTGGAGTGTCAATTTCCATATGTCCGTCAGAATCGACGTGACGTCCTGTTGAGCGACAATGCGAGCTTCGTTCGACTCAAAAGGGAACCGGGTCAGTCCTCGAGCGAACAAGACCTTTGTGCAGTTGATGCTCACGCGGCAAAACGTGGCAAGCGCCACACACCGTACGTCGACCGACTCGTGACTAAAAATTGCCTGAATCTTCTTGAGAGGCTCTAGGTCTTGCTGCTGAAGAAAGCCCAACGTGAGGGTTAGCGGAAGCACGTCAAACACAGGAATTGAGTGAAGCAACACGAGTGCAGTCCCCTGTGCCGCAGCTCCGGCAAGCTCCTTGACTGCAGCGTCTAGAATGAGCTGCCAAACTTCAGTGGTGATACACGACGGAGCTAATCCAGCTAAGCGAAACCCCAGGATCTTGCACTGAGTCGTGGTTTCGGGGGAGAAGCATTCCTACTCCGGCGGTCACGTTTCCCAATCCCACCGACAGATAGAGATGTTGTTGTCGTACTTGCAAGACGTTGAATACTTCCGTTCGAGTGAGCGCATGCTTCTTCGTTGTCGCAGTCTGGACATGCTTCGTTGCTCGCTGCTGTACCTTGGTCGCATCGGTCTCTGTTGGCTTTGTCTCCATCATCCAGATGGTGATCTTCGTCGCGGGCTTGAAAGATCGTCCCGAAGTTTGATTGGTGGGATCCTGAATGGAGTGGCCTATCAAAATACAGATTCTACTTGGATTCGGAAAATATATTATTAGCCATTCCATACAAATTTCTAGATCAGCAGATCACATTTTTCTATATAGTTCATAGCTCTACGTTGAATCAAATGCAGATCGCGGCCGACGCCGTCGCCTCCACTGCTCCAACGCCGTCCATGTTTGAACAAGGACAAGTTCTGTTGATGCAGGTACAGGACGGATCCCGATTGCCCACGAAAGTCTCATGTACCGTCGGTTCAGCTGCAGCACCTGGGCCATGCTCTCAGGCACCATCAGCCCAACCATGCGACATTGTTGCGAGCGGTCATTTCAGCGATGCGACTTGTGCGAGAATGCGTCAACAAAGACCTTGCCAATGAGTTTGGGCATAATCTAGCAAGCAAGACTTCCGCTTATGTGTCTAAATTGATTCAGCGATGCCAGGATGATGCAGGAATCACGTGTCCCGACGCAGCATGCGTCCGTGCAGATCGATCAGCTCTGGTTCATCAAGAACTGAAAGCAATTGACGGTTTGGCCAACAGTCCATTCTTTCTATCCCCAAGAACTCAAGGTACATTGAGAGACATCGTCAAGTACCTGCGACGTCAAGAAGAAACACGATCGTTCCATGTCCAGCTGCTCGAGTGCCAACTCAAGTCCACGTCAACCTACGCCGTGAGCACGTTTGCATATGGTTCCACGCCACTCTTTACCTGGATCGATCTTTTCAAGACCCCACTTCTCACCGACTGCGTTGCACGGATTCAAGCGGCGCCACATCCATCCGCGTGCACCTTGTTTGGTTCATCCACCGGGTCGCTCGTGTTTTACACTGCATTGCTCTGCAAAACCCCGTTCGAGGCATCGAAATCCTCCCATTTCTCACGAATGTTGCTGTCGCGGCCCAACGGCGCTTCCATCTCGACGAGTGCGTTGCTTTTGAATGCCAAGACATGCTGACAGCAACCGTGCTACACACCCAGCTCCTCGTTTTGACGTCGCAGTGCTGGGAGCCCACCCTCGTGCAAGCTGTAGTGTCGAAGCTCGAAAAGGAATTGCCCACGGATGCAATCGTTCTTGACTACACTGCGGCTCTCTCTGCATCGCCAGCGTTTGCTCTGATGCAGTGCACCACGGGCGTTGTGTCGTGGAACCAGCTGCACACGTTTCGGGTGTACCAGAAGCGACAGCGCCATGGCCTCGAATGCGAAACATCGACGACAAAAGATCCTCATGAAGCGGGCCTTTCGACCGAGAGCGTCATCCCAAACACAAGACAACATCGTGGCGTGCCTGAAATTAAAAACTGTTGAATAAAGTAAGAGATGATAAGCAGAGCGGCGGCAGCTACTTGATCGCGAGCACGCGTTTGTCGCGCTCCTCTCGCCGCCGCTTCACGAGGTCGATCTTAGCGACGCGGGCTGCCTTCTCGGCTTCGGCCTTGGTTTCGGCGAGAAGTCGGCGATGTTCGCGAACCTTCTGCGCCTCCTCACGCGCCGCAGCCTCGCGCTTCTCCTTCTCTTCACGTCTCTTCGCAGCCAGGTCCTGCTTGGATTCTTGCTTTGGCACAGATGTGATGATAACATCGCTGGAATCCGATGCCGTCGAAAATTTTCGCGTGCGTAGGGGGAGTGTTGCAGGCTTGGGGACCGACGCCGGGGGCCGCAACCGGCTGCGGCTGGTCTTGGTCGGCGGAGCTTGCGCCACCTTATTCTTGAGAGGAGTGGGCAGAGGAGTCTGCACAGCGCACTTGAACTGTGTCGAGGACTCCGTGTTCGACGACTTCTTCATCATCATAACCTTTGAGACGCTAGCAGGTGCCACGTATTGTTTTGTAGCTCGTCGCCCGTCCATCACGGGAAGCTTCGACTTCATGGGTTTTGGCGATGGAGGCGGCGTCAAATCTTGGGCTGGGTCGTCCATTACGGATCCATCACAAGACTCCACATCAGTGGCGTCGAGGCCGGGAGAGTACCGGGTTGCCAAATCGGGAAACTCCTTTTGCATGAATTGAAACATTTCGTCATACTGGTTGTTCAGCGACTCGATCTCCTTCAACTCGTCGTCCATTGAGTATTGACTAGATGTTTCCATGCTTACTTCCGTGTTGGTGAGGTCCTGAGCAGAACACCAAGGGGTAGCAGACGCGGGGGACAGCGGTGCAAGAGGACTCTCTGGAATCGACTCCAACGTTGAATTGCGCACATGAACGTCTTCGTCAGCGACGATGGACTCCACCACCCTGTTGCCTAAATCGGATGGCCCAGCCACGTGTGTCGTCGCAACTGCAATCGCTTGCTCAACCATTGGAGTTACTTCCTTGTCGATCTGAGCCATGTAGGCCTCAATCATCTGTTGGACACGAAATATTTCTTCTTCGGGGATGTTCGGGATGTTATCATCGAGATTGTTGTTCGTTTCGGGTTGTTCGTCTTTCTGGTTGTGGCTGCAACCAGGGCCGCAAGCAATCAAACTGCCGTCGGCGGCAACGTCTCCACTCTTCGAGCACGCTCGATGCTACAAGATTAACAGCCTCCATCAGTTCACAGGTAAGCATTCATGAAGAGAAAGTGGACGCACCAAATGGACCATGCCATGAATTTTGCGAGCAATGTCGTCGGGCAGAAGAATGTTGACTCCGTCGCTTTGTAGGTTTTCATACACCTCCAAGATCAGGTCTTCGAGCTCCTGTCGGCACTCCATCATCGCCAGGTCTCGGCCTCCTTCCTCGTTGATTGTTCCTTTCTCCTTGATAGGTTCCTGGCGATGCGCGGAAGTGCTTCACCTAGAGCACCGCCACTCGCTGCCAAATACCTTGTGAGTCAGACCAAAACGGAGACTGTGCATGACTGGAGCCGGCAAGATCCTGACAACGGAATGCGACCAACTAGTGTATCATATCCTGGCTGGATTCTCTCGTATATAATAAACGGTACGACGATAAGTATTTCGTCGTGACCCCAACTTGAGAAACGTCTTCCCTGCTAATTAACTTGGAAATTGTATATGGTGTATCAGCATTGGGTTGACGGGCGAAAAGGGGAAGGGGGCTGGCCAATCAGCGGCGTCCTCAGGCGGTTGAAAATTCTAAAAACTTTGGTCTATGATTGGCTGTCTGCGATGCGGTGCAATTCAATTATAATTGGTCGATGCAATATTATAATTCGTAGAAGTTTCGTTGAATTATAATTTGGCCAGCGCGCCATGTAACCAGAGCCGTTTCATACGTGGCATGCCCTCGTGCAAGCTCACGAGCTTTTTAAAATTCAGAATTCCGAAAGGCATGCCTGGACCGTCAAGTAATGCGCCACGCAGCAGCCACCTAAGAGCCCCATATTCAATTCATCCTCGTGGATACCATGCAAGCCATCACGAACGAGCGCTCCTGGACCGACCTCGTAGAAGAAGTCGCCCTCATCGAGTCGCCCTGCCTCCCCTTGTCCGCTGAATGCGACCACGATATGGTCAACTGGGAAGAGGTGGGCTCCATGTTTAGCGACTTCCTCGGGGACGAGCCCAGCTCTGAACAAGCGCTCGCCCCAATTCCCCTTCCCGACTTCGACTGGAGTGACCTTATCGCTGCTTTCACAACACCTAACCACATGGAGACAAAGCCCATGGTCTTCGTCACGAGCTCACCTTCTCCACACAACACCCGCAGGTCCAAATCTACTATCTCCACCACCTCCCCCAACAAGAAGTGCCCCAAGAAGTGCTCCGAGCCGGCTTGCTGGAACAAAGTTCGATCGCGAGGGTACTGCAAAATGCACGGCGGGGGCAAGCGATGCTTGTTTTCTGGATGCGATACATGCAGCGTCGGAGGATATTACTGCATCAAGCATGGTGGGGGCAAGAAGTGCAACGTCAGCGGATGCTCCAATGCGATTCAGTCTCGGGGTGTGTGCAAAGCTCATGGCGGAGGGGCTCGTTGCACCGTTCCTGGTTGCCATAAGAGCAGCCAAGGCAAAGGCCTTTGCACATCACATGGAGGTGGCAAGCGCTGCGAGGTTGAGGGTTGTGTAAAAGGTGCTCAGTCGAGGGGTCGGTGTTATACCCACTGTACGTGATCGCCCCTTTGTAACTATACAAAATGTAACACGAATTATAATGTTCGCATCAATGAGAACTTTCCACCGGACGCAGCTGAAACAGTCCAATCGAGATACAGTACGGTGGCCGTCGAAACTCTGGCGGCGGCAATCGATCCGTCCAAGGTGCAGGTCGCGTGCGATCGTGCAAGTGGATGATACGACTACAGTTGTTTTCAAGCTCCCGTTCCCAATGGACGCCCGTCCGCCACCCAGAGGCCAGGGAAGGTTGGCTGGCCTGTCGCACGAGAGAGACTTGGCACTTCAGCAGCGCTGTCTGTAAAACCGATCTGAATTCTTAAGCTGGTGAATTGGCCGACATGTAACGGCCCGCTGAGTTCGTGGACGCCCTACTTTCCCCGTGAACGGACGCGTCCACTGCCCTCCGCCGGCAGGCAACGATGACTTCACGAGAGAACTCAACTACAGACGTTGTCCTCAATCAGGTCAGGTTGTTTGCTTGGCTGCAAGCATACACCCATCACGCCCCAGACACGATTGAGTGCGTCTACTCAACTCGTGGACACGCTTTTGACCCATCTGTACGTAGAACTGCCATGCACATGATCCTCGTGTTTGCAACGATCCCAGTGTTGCAGTACTGCTTCAGCTGCGCCTCCAGTCCAGTGGCCGCGGCGACTGGCTTGGTGTGGCCGATCCAGCTCGCGTAGCAAGCCCACCTATGCGTCAAGGCCACCCAATTGGATAGGTAGTATACCCCGAGCTGTCTCGTCCGGCGTTGAATGGTATCGGACGAGCGTGTAAAGTAGTGCATAACTTATTTTAGTTGTTCCCAAGTTTAATCAACGACACCAACTAGTGTTTCACGGCAGCTCATTCTTCGCCGTCGCTTCCATTTGCAGCAATAGCAGCTTGTACGTATCGCCGGTGGGTCCCTCTGTGCCCCGAGCAGCTCAGCAGTACACTCAGTGGCGTGGGGGTAAATCGGTTCGGTCGAAAATATTCGAGTGCATAGAACGAGTCTTCAAAGAGGGCCACGACCTTTTGAAAGGCAAAGCTGGCAGCGCTCACGTTCCGATCGGGGTGGATCGGGTCTTCAATCACGAGCTTGAGCTGGAGAATCGCTGGCGACATCGACGTATCGTTCATATCACGCAAGCGGTAAATGAACCCGCCATTTCGAATACTGAGACCGCTCTTGCGGTAGTTGAACACACACCCGAAAAACTCCAGCAATTGCCGTGCATGAGCGCCGAGACACACCACCCGCACGGCCTCGTCATCGCTGCAGCACGCTTCATCAGCTGACGTATCTTCTGTATCCGCTTGGCTGCTTGATTCGCTGACAATGTCATGGTGGTCTTCGACTTTTGTTTGGTGGTGGTTCAGGTTGCTCGGTATTGACGATGAAGACGCGAGCGACGCTTCTTTCGCTACCATCGACGCATATGTGATGGGCGCGGCGGGTCCGACTGCCGCAGCCGCATATGACATGACACTGTTCTTCGTAGGTTCAAGGATAGCTGCATACGACTTGGGAATAACGGGAGGAGGACTCGCTGGAGTGAAATTGGCAGATGGGATAGGTTTTAGAACGGGGGGTAGAGGGGCCTGTGTAAGTGCTACGGCGGGCGAATTCCTCTGCTTTTTCGGGCTGTCAGTCTTGAGCTTGGGTTCCTTGGACAAGTCGCTGGTGATGGGTTCCGTGGGAAGCGATCCCGATGCGTAAATCAGCGCGGCGTTGAATGCGTGGGGTCCAGCCCTAAACCGAATAGATGAATGACGTCCAGAAGCAGGCGACATACCTCCACAGCTGGGCAAAGTGCACAATCATCAGCACAATCGAGTACGAGCTCAAACCACCCGTGTACGCATCATTGAGGCCTCGTTCGCGCAGGAGCTGCTTGAATATGATTGCCAGTGGATATAGTTCCGGGAGTTCGTCGACCAAGCTCTTGATCAAGTCTCGAGCCAAGAGACCGCTGTGCGTGTTGGCCGACTCAAACGTAATGTCAATTGGCACCGACGAGTCCGTGCTAAATGTCGACGTCAGTTTCTCCTAACACCGTGGCAAGGCCGTACCTGACTAGCTTGAGCAGCGGGACCTTTGCCGACTCCACAAGCAAAATGGATTCGACCCACTTTTCGTGTTTCAGCGACGCCGCAAGACGTTTGAGATTGGCGCTGGCATCATCTGACGTGCCCTACTCGTCGACAAAGAATAAGCATCCCTCCGATTCTTGACACACAGAGAGGAGCGACACAGTACCAGGATGACAAGGTCAATGTCGCTGCTGGGCAACCAAATGCCAGTGGAATACGACCCATATGTCTCGACTGTCGCTTCTGGCCACAACTTTCTCACGCTCGTTCGCACCAGCTCGATAGTTTTTTCGATGTGCACAGCCATTTCAGACACAATTGCACGCGTGTATCTGGCATACTCGACAATTTCCTGATGCAGTCTACCAAATATGCAAAAGTCAAACCGCGAATATATACAAGCAGGATGGGCGGGGTACCTGTCGTCCAGTGATCCCGTAAGGGTGCCGGAGTACCAACTCGGCGCTTTCAGGGGCGAAGTGGTCGTTTCTGGTTTGGGAAGAGAGTCGCAGGGAATGCCCCACGCGGGTGATGATGGACCTGCACCGATGGCTTCAACGGTGGCTTGCTTCCCTTTTTTCTTCTTTGGCGTTTTGTCGGTCATGGGGTCGACGACTACTCACCCATCGATTCCGTCGTGGATTAGATCCAGCAGCGCAGAGACCCTTCACTAGTCAATACCGATACATACCTTTCTTCTTCAGTTGGAGCACGTTGGGCTTTGGGGTCAGCTGCTTCTTTTTCGGCCCGAGTGCAGCAGCCGCGGTAGTCGCCGGATGTAATCGACGACGTTGTTGCATGGATGGACGGGATGACGTAGTATGTTTGCCGAGATGAACAACGGGGATGAGCTGGAGCGTCAATGCGTGCCGGCGTGTCCCTGAGTGTGCGCAAGTGGTGGAGAGGTGGTCGGTCTCTTGTATCTCTAGCGCCGCCTGCCTTCGGAAGGTGGGTGGAGCTGATGGTCAAAACCTGCTTTGATCACGTAGGATTGGTGGCTGGAATTTTAATATTTTCGCGGATACTTTGGTGTAACTGACTCTCGCCATCGACGAAAGGGACGACGAATCGCTTTCAACCAATCAGATGCCCATATTTTCAAATCCCACCCAATCAGATTATGCCATTTCACTGGGATTCGACACATCCCTGTTTTTCCAAAAAATCGACCTCAATTACATTTCATGACTCCATTCCGCAGTTCTAGATGTACGAAGAGTACATTGTCGACCGAACGTGGACATACATGCTTTGTACGTTGTACGATATACATCGCCTCTACAAATACATATCGTTGGCAACATAATCGTGTTGCGCTAAACGAATACACTCCATCGTGCCTTGCTCGTACTGTTCTATAGGTTGGAGACTTCTCGCAAGACGGGACACTCGCGGCGTCCACCACCGCTACGGATTACCTTTGTGGTTGCGATGCGTCCCCGGGCGCCTAGGTTCAATGCGGCAACGTTCGTTCGACATTGCTTCTCCATGGCGTCGTCTGATTGGCGGATTTTTAACTTCAAGGTTGGTTCAGGTTTGTCGCCAGCATATCCGAGACATTTCGGCCTTGTGAAATTAGGATTGCAAAGATGACGCAAGTGGCGACCTTGCCCTTCCGGCGCGGCACCAAGAAGGAGCCCGTGCTCTTGAATCACTACTCCTGTGGTCTTCCTGGAGACACTTGCTCTTGCTCGATAGTAATTTGGTTGACAAGTGCTTCCTAGGTGTTCCCCGCAACTATGCACAGCCATGCCAGACGTGTCCCAACGGCCGCAGTTTGAGCTGGGAAAAACTTGTATTTTCGTCTTGCCACGTCGATTCCTACAGCCCCGTCGGGAACTACTCGTCGTACTCCATCGAGTCATATCCGTCCTTCTCATCCTCTTCATCGACATTCAATTCGAGCATCAGCGCCTTGATACGCCCAAGCGCGCTGGAAGATGCCGTGACCGACAACGACGAATGGCGCTTGTTCGCGATGACGACAATGTCCGTGTCCGCCGTTTGTACCGGTTCGCTTTCATCGAGGGCCAACATGACACTGCCATCGTCCAACTTGTTGAGCTGGGTTTGGGCGTTCTCACTCAAGTGCTTGAGCCATGCATGCTTGACGTTCACTACAAAATTCTACGCTTAGCACGACTCCATGCATCCGGTTTATCGATATGTACCAAGTTGAGTGAATTCTTCCATGCCCAACGAGATCACACGGTCCGAGCAGTGTCGAACAATTGCACGAAGGCCGTCGTCGGCGACAACACAACCTGAGGGGGTCATGTGAAACGCAGTTGTCCCTGCTTTGTGCACATGCAGTCGTCCTGCATAGGTCACCAGTACCTGTCAAGGGCGTTCCCGACCGTCAGACCAAATATGATGGAAGCATATCGCATTACCTTGGCGACGCCCTCCGTGACAAAATGGACGTCACGCGTTTTGGTAAAGTTCAAATGCTCCACAAAAAACGTCGGCGCTAAGTCGATGCCAAACCCCTTCGACACAACCTTGTAATGCGCGGGATCGACAGGGCTGTACACGCCGACACGTTGTTTCTGCTTCGCCTGTTGCTTGTTGGATGCATGTTTCTTGTCCTTCTTGGCCACGGATGCCGGCGGCGCGGCGGCAGGTCCAACTGCAACGGCCTCGACATCTTTCGTCTTCTCAAGGACGGCGACAAATATGCCGTGGGTGTCGTTGTCGTGAGGCAAGACCCGGACACACCGATCCAAATGGAATGACGAAGCCTCTGACGATGAAGGAGCGAACATGGTCGAACGAAGCCTGAGCCGGCGGCGCATGTCTTCCGAAGTGGACTCGTATGATTTGAGCACAGATAACGAGTCGTCCACGACTGTCCAAGAGGCCAGCCCGGGCCGGGTTTGCAATGAAGGCACAACGTCGGATACGTCCACCAACTGGGACGAATGTTAAACCTCGCACATCATCGCAGCAACCAGCACAAGGAATCCAAGAAGCAGCAAAGTATACACGTACTGTGCAAGCTCCCGATCGCAGTAACTCAGCTACAACGGCTTCGTTTTCCACTGGGCTAAACGCTCGAGTCGCGTACACGAGGCGGCCGCCCACGGCCAAGAGCTGGAGCGAGCGCGAGGCCAATTCCAACTGTGTTGCGTGGAATCCAAACGCTGTATTTGGCGTCCAACACCGCCACTTTTCTGGGAACTTCCGGATCGAGCCGTCCCCGGAGCATGGTACGGAGCACAGAATGCGGTCAAACAATACGGAATTGTCGTCGTCAAGTGAGGGGAACTCTTCGCTCTACGAATTCGTTGCGATGAATCCTCCAGACGCTTGAGACTTTCCAAGTATCAGGGAAGTGCTTTGAACCTTGTGAGCTGTGACAATCACACTGGCAGCATTTGCCACGGTTTGTGAGACCATGCGAACGGCCTTAGTCGCACTTGCAGCATCATGTTCGTTCACCACGAGCACGCCCTTGGGCTCGAACTCGTCGGTTTGGTCCTGCAACCCTTGAACGATTTGTGCTGCGCGGCTTGCCCCCGATCCATTCAAGTCCAGCACCTAGAACTCGTGTAAAACCCAAAGGTGACAAGGTACAGTCGTACACTATGGCCAGGCTGGACGTCCAAGTAGATGGGCAGCAACATGTTGGTGGGTTCTTGGCGGATAAGAGTTCCGATCGTGGTTTGGTCTCGAACGAAAGTGTTAACACCGTCCAATTGCTTGGTTTTTCGCAGGGTCTTGCTGTCCACGTTAATCTGCACCGCCACAACACAAAGTCAATTACATCACCGACAAATCACATCAAATACCTTCCACGTAGCCTCGTCAAATGCGACAGGTCGCAATTGCAAGGGCTTTTCCTCGCCAGAAGGCAGCTTCAGCACAGACCCATCCACATCGAAGTCGCACTCTAAGCTGCCTTTGGCTATGTCGCTTAAGCTGCGGAATGTGCCTAGGGCATGGCTGTGGTGCGACTGAATCATGTTGACACATGGAGGGTACCGTTGATTCGAAAGTGCACGGACGGAGGGGTTTCCAAGCACTTAGTAAACGTTCTCCATTCTTCTTGATCGAAACCCCACAAATTGCGGTAGTACTCTTCAAATGCCGAGTTTTCCCGACCAAACTTGCGCCACACGACCTTTTCGGACCGAATTGCTTGTTGCTCAAGCAGTCGCTTCTTTCGCTCTTCCAACGGCAAATCCTCGAGAGGTTTCTTCTTCCGAGGCTCTTCATTCGGTACGTGTGCCGGCTCCTTCTTACCCTTCTTCTTGTTCTTCTTGCTTTTGGCCTCCACCACGATCACTTGATCCGTGAAGTCGCGGACTCGAGCATTCTCGAGCGACGGCAACGGAATACCCCTCCTGTACGAGTCGTCTTCTTCGTCGCTCGACCCACTGTAATACACGGCCTTTCGCTTCTCGGCAACAGGAGCTGCATGCACGGATGCACCGTTCTTCACCGGACCTCGCTTGGACGATTTCGCCATGGCCAACAACTTCCCACAAACGATTGGCGGACTCGGGATTTTGTTCCGCCGTTCTGATTGGCCACCGATTACTTCAACTATGTTGCCTTTAAACGATTATTCAACGATTTACTGTTAGTCCGCGATTAAATAATCCAGTTAAATGCCAAAAATATGTGATTGGTGAATTGAATTTCACGTTAGTTTTCGTACATCGACATGGTTGTCTAGAATTTCGTTCGAGGAAGTCAAGATGTGCACACAATGGCATGGCGACGGGTTTCACCATAAATACACGACTGGGAAGAACTCGTCACAGCCATAAGTTACGATTCGACGTCGTGGTTCCAAGAGCATGGTCTCGGCCGCCGATGATTTTCTCGAGCGCTTCTTCGCGGCCCGCCGCAGCCAGTGCGTGCATGTTGGTAAAGCTAAACGTGCGAAATGCTTCGGGCGTCATGGCAGGACTGGCGACCATGCTGCCGTCCAGCAAACTGTTGAATGGACCTGACGACGCTGACAGTTTTCCAGTTGACGCGCCGCAGGTGCTCGACGACTTGCTGCTTGGAATATTAATGGACTTTGTAGCAGCCACGATGGGCGACGAGCGGATGGTTTCGGGCATGGCGTCGCCGTTGTCGTCGACAAATGCTTCCGTCAAGTTGCGATTGTTAAAGTAGCTCGTGTCGTACGGATCGTCCAGTGTCGGCACGAACGGCGGCGTCGTCTCGAGCACCGTGTCCCAGTTGAGTCCATGGTCCTGGAAGAAAGGATGGACAATCAAGTCGGACCAGCCCATGCGGGTGTCTGGGTTGAGGTCCAACAAACGGTTGATGAGGTCTTCCACGTGGGGACTCAAGCGCTGGTCTTCGTTGGGCCAGTCGATGCGGCGGTTCAAAATGTTGGCAAAGATCGCTTCCACTGTGTCGTCGTTGAACGGAGGAAACCCCACGAGCATTTCGTACCTAACAATGTAAACATGACCGCGTGGTCACTTCTCAAGAAAACGTACAAAATGACCCCCAGGGCCCAGTAATCGACGGGAGTGCCATGCTTGTGGCCAAGTAGAATCTCGGGACTCAAGTAATCGGGCGTTCCACAACGATGCTTTGACCCGCTTTGGGATTTCGGGCTCGCGACAAATGCACCCAAAAACTCGCCCCGCAAGCCAACGCTCGCCCTCCCGCTGTCGTCTCGAGTGCCATGAAACACGTCATTTACTTCCAACAGATCTTCGTCGTCACTAAAGTCGTGACACATGTCGCTATCGCTGTCGCCTTCAGAGGACTGCCGTCGGTCGGTGGACTGCGCGGTGTCGGTCATGGAGACTCCTTCTTCGGACAGGCCAAAGTCGGTCAGCTACAGCCAGTCATCATCCATGGCGAGAAGCGCAGCGAGACGGTCGCTACCTTGATGTGGCCACTTGAGGCAATTAAAATATTGTCCGGCTTCAAGTCCCTGCGCCACAACTCATCTCGTTGGAGGTCGCACGTGTTGTTTAGGGCAACGTGACCACTCACCGATGCACGCACCCCTTCGAGTGCAAATGATTGAGTGCCAGTGCAATCTCGGCAATGTATATGCAGGCCACCTAACCCACATCAACGTCGTGACGATGCGTCGGCAACCTTGACGTTGTCGTTTCCCACGCACGATTACCCGTTCTTCGAGGCGCACGATGCATTCAAGAAGCGACATAAAGTCCCCTCCAGGCAAGTACTCCATGACCAAGAACAGGTTGTACCTAATGCAACGACGACGTTGTCAGCGGTCGGGCTGCATACAACCTCTCGTCGACGCACTGCGATTGAAATGTCCAAAACAGCTTAACGACAAATGGACTTTGCATGTTGGCTAAAATATCCCGTTCCGCTTCGATGTTGGAAAGCTACAACCGTGTCATTCCCAGCCACACGATTTTCAGCTGCACTACTACCTGGTTTTTCCTCAACACGTGCTCCTTCGCCAACACTTTAATCGCGTACGGATCGCCCGTCGTTTTTTTCTTGGCCAAGTACACTTTGCCATACGCGCCTCTCGAAATGGGCTTGATAATGTCAAAGTCGCTACATGTCCGTTCGTCGCAACCGCGTCACTTCAAACGCAATTTCAAGAAGCCACGGCAAAATCCAAATACACTTGGCACGTACTCAATCGTGACTCGAAACGTCGGGGGCTTGACGCCAACACTGCCCAACGTGGCTGTGCTTAAAGAGTGGCGGCGATTGTTGTCTTGGTTCTCGAGAGATTTCGTGCGGTAGATTGGAGCTGGCGCATGATGAACGAGCATATTCTTGTGCGTTTTTCTCATGTGGTTCATCTTGGAGTGAATCAAGTGTCGAATGCGCGCGCAATATTTGGCCCCGCGATCGACGACGCAGCTGGACGTAGGTCGTTCGAGCGCAGCATCACAATCCTGGTCGAGCAACTTCATCAGGCGAACACACAGTTCGAACGAGTCGACACTCGCAATGTCGCACGCCGCCGCCTGCCGATCAAGTTTATCAGGCGCATGAGAGCGAGATACGACTGCACCTGCTGCGCAATCGAGCGCATCGTTTGGTAAAACGCAATGTCGGAGGCGCTAAAGTACGACAGCATGTCCTGCGTCCGCATGTTTGACTCCAAGACGTCCGCGATTCTGCTGAGCATGGAATTCACCTGGCTAGCTTCCTGCTCGTGCTTCTTGGAGAATACGCACAACTCGGTGTGTTCGTCGAGCTGAGACGCTTCCATGCGGCATTCGCAGAGACGGCACACCACCATATTGCTGGTGCATGCGACGAAGCTCACGTACATTGGTCGCGGGGTGGACGCGAGGAGGTGGAGCACTTCGTCCCCACGAAGGCCAGTGACCTGTTGGTCATTGATGCCATCAACAGCAAGCCCTGGACGAAGTTGATCCCCGACAACCACCTGCGTGGACGATTGGGATTTGAAATGGCGCGACGACGATGGCAGCGTTGACGGAACGTTGACAGGGGTACTCTTGATCACGACGCGACCCGTGCTGTCGTCGATAGCAAACTCAATTCCTAACACACCCTCGCCAAAAATTGCTTCGACGACGTCGTCGTGGTAGATTGTGGCAGCGTCGAACACGGCGTCGGGTGGAGTGCGCCACTTTTTGTGAAAGTTGTGCCAGTTGCGTGCACTGTTCAGCGCCGCCTTCTGATGGAGGAGATGGGAGCCTGACCGAGGAATGTTGAGGCTATACTGGCGCAAGAGGTGTGCGGGGTGCGACGGCGATATCAGCATGTCGTCGGACAGGAGCTCCGCACTCATGGTGAAGAAGTCGCAATGATGATGATGGACGAGAAGCTTGTGTTTTTTGGCAAATCCATGTCCTTAAAATAGATTTCGAGAAGCGAAATATATTGCATACAAGGCATCAGCTATTATAATTTCAACGAATGCTATTATTTTATGGTGGTGGGTCCAATGCAACCAGCTGGACGGTCGAACCGGCCCCCCACACGAGGAGGATGTGACGAAACCAACCAGCGCTAGTCCATGTCGATGCGTCCTGGCAGCGGCACCACAGCAGCACTGCTTGCAGTTGGTGGTGGCTGCGGTGATGCTACGGTGGTAGCCGCGACTGCAGAAGCTGGCGCTGCAGTGTAGGCAGCAGGAGACAAGTCGCGCTTGCACATTGGGCACGTCTACCACAAGGAAGGGTGAGCATGGCATGGCTTCTGCTGTCACGTCACCAAATTGTGCTCGAGCCACTCGCCAATGCACGCGGCGTGGAAGTGATGCTGACAGGGGAGTTGTCGTAGCTGTTCGTCTGCCACAAACTCGACCTACGCACACCGCTTCATGAGAGAGTGGCATGAACGAATCATATGACTGTACGAGACAAATCGGACATATTTCGTCGGTGGGAGCTGTCGATGCCGACGGGTGAAATGGCACGAGCTTGAACTGGGCGATCTCGTCAACCGATAGACCTCGACGGCCTGCGCTTGGCGACGCGGTGGCATCCATCACGATGCTCTACACATGAACAAAGTCACGATGGCAACTACGTCCAACATCCGCCACCTGTCGACGTCTGTGTCGCTTGATCACCACGAGTACAACCAAGAGACACGCAGAGAGGACAAGCAGTACGAGACTCAGCGTGAGCATCGTCGACATGACCTGTATCAATCGAGGTGCGGTCGTTGTGTCCGTGTTTGCCCCTCGTGGCAACACGGACGCATTGCGAAGCCAGAGGTCGCCCAGGCATTGCATGAACCTGCCCCCATACACGACAATATTGCCATTCCACACGCTCATGCGATGGCCAAATCGGGCAGACGGCCCGTCCAATGCGCTGATGTCGAGTTGTTCGCCCGCGTTGTCGAACTAGGTCGTCCACTGAGTTCGCCAACCAACCAACGTGGGGGTGGCACCTGCAGGTTGTCCTCGATCAACGTCAAGGTCGGCAATGGCGACGTGGCTGCCCCCAGCATGCCATCAAACGCGACTCCTCGACCGGTCGCTTGGGTGTCAAAAGCGAACCCGCCAAAGAGCCACAAGTACGAGTCGGTAGAGACCATGGCCGACAGGATACGTCCGAACGGGGGGGTGGCACTCAACCGTGTCCATGACGGCAGCTCCGGCCCCTGTTGTGGCAAGTGTCGTCGAGCTCCATCCATTTCGACGTACCGACATCAACGGCAGCATCCACGCATCGTTCAGAATCGTCCATCGCCTGTCGAAATTTTGACGCCCGCTGAACACGACCATATACACCACTCCGTTCACTACACACGTTGTCAGACCTAGACCATAAAGGAAGTTGTTACGCTGGACAGTCGTCGCTGTGTGCGAGAAGCGGGCAGTGGGGACACTCGAATTGGAAGCGACCGCCACCTCCTCCCACACGAGGGTGTCAAAGTCGAACTTCCATACGTCACCCAGGTCCACCGGATAGATATCCATGGTGTTTGGGATGATCACGCCGCCAAACACAACCATGGCTTGAGGAGTTGACACAGCGGTCGCTTGGCTGCGAGGGATGGGGCGCGGAGTCGTGAGGGTGCGCCCTCCCTTGTCGACGGCGACCCACGTGCCTTGTGTTGTATCGAGCTTCCACAGGTCGTTCAGTTGGAATGAAAAGTCCTCGACGACCGCTTTTGCGGCGTATTTCGTTCCGCCAAATATGTACACATCCGTTCCTCGCACTGCCTGTGACAAGCATTGACGGTCGGGACGGGATCGAGTCCCACGCACCGACACGTGGTCATATCGACGCCCAGGATTGACTGCTGTGGCCGTGAGTTGGCTCCACCGTTTGTTGAGAAAATCAAACTACGCGTTGGAAGACCAGTTCTAGCATGGGCATCGCAGCAACCGTCGTGGAACCTTACCTTCCACGTGTCGTTGAACACGGCGTCGTTCTCGTCACCTGCGCCGCCGTAGATATACGCATGATCTCCGACAACTTCCAGCACCGTGCCTTCCCGAGCCATGGGCTGCGGTACAAGTTGGGCCGACACTTGAGTCCAAGGGGAGTGCACGACTGCAGCTGTGGTATGCTCCATCCCTATACGTTGTTCGTGTGGTGAGCGTCGTCAGCAGTGTGGACAGGGAGGGCCAGGAATTGGCCTTGCATCACCTTACCAATGATGCCGCATCCCCACAGCAGCACAACGTAGGGAAAAGCACGACGAGGGCTCATGGCGTCGATGCCACTAGGAAAACCTGGCACAGCAAGGACGCCAAACCCGCTTATAAATAGATTGCCTTGGGAAACATCAACGGGCCCTTTGGATTGTCGCGCCGTCGGCACTTGAACGTCCACCTCGCTTGAAGACCAGGGCGATGTTTGGAGGTTGTACACTGTGGTGAGGTCACGCGCTTCACGGCTGTGTTTTTCGAGTCAAGGCGACCCATTTGTGAGGATGCTTTCGCAAAGTGGTTGGAAACTTTTGCAATGGATGCATGTGAACCGTACTTCGTGGCCACGTGACCATGCCAAGACTGCTCAACCTGTGCGACTTCACCAAATTACCGGACACAGCGCGAGTGATCTTGCAGTGTGTCGCTCCTGACGTGAGTGGCAACGACATTGGTGTACCACAACGACCGAGCTCCATCTCGTGCAACGTCGCAAGGTAGTTCCATCGTTGCGATGGACATCACGATGACAGCATTGCACCATCGAAACATTGTTTCTTTGGTCATGTTCGACACCAAGACGCATGCTAACCTGTAGTCGTCACCCGAGCGCAAAGCGCGGCCTCTGGCTCATCATACTTCACTGCGAACACCGACGTGGGCAATCCCCATGGCTCCAATGAAGCCATCACACCCACACGATATGTCATGCAAGCCATCCATCACCATCTACGTGGGAGTCAAACCCCCGATGTGTGTTGACGAGCATTTGATTTGTAGACATGGTGGCGATGCCATTCTCATCTGAGCGTCACAAGAACTGGTGCTGCTGCACGGGACATTGGCCATGCCCGTGTAGCGGCAATTAGTGGAGGCAACGGTTTTGCGACGAGCAACGAGGGGGCAATTGCACATGACTCGAGACTAGTCGTGCGAGGGTGTGTACCGGAGACGACCAACACCGCAGACGTTAGCCCAAACGCCACGTTCATCGTGACCAACTTGAGACGTGCTTGGAGGGATAATGCATGGTTTAGCCATGTAGGGAATCGTTCTGGTCAGCCGCCGGGGAATGCGAAAGGTGGCGATGCGCATCATGTCCTTGAAACATCGTTGAATAGACCCGTGATGCCGAATGGTTTTGCAACTGGAGCGATTCCACACACCCCTTGTTTTTTTGGTCAAGGACAGGTTGACCAGTCCCTGCTCTTGAATGAATTGGACGGCGAATATGGGGCGGCCACACGAGAGGGTGACGTGGAAGAGGGTGTCCGCAAAAAAGATGAGCGTCGTTTTCGCTTGGATGGCGCGGACAGACACAATTATTGGCATCTTGATCAAGTCCAAGATAACAATGACATCGTTCGATACGACCTAGGTCGGCGGCCGGACTGCGCTTTGGAGCGTGTTGTGCGCTTGCTTGGCTTGCGCCACGAGCGTGTTAGAGCAAACCACGACCTGGTGTAGCCAGTCTGCCATCGCATGCTCGTATTCTGACGAGCAGGACGGTCTGACTGCCTTTCAGTGTCCCTGGCGGGTTTCCTTGGCACAGATTTTCGGCTATCAAAATCGACTCGTGCGCCTCCACCGTCACCCGGCGCGTAAATAAACCGACAGACCGCCCCAATAGCTCTCCATGGAGGAGAGCAATTCGGGCGGTCTTGTTTCAACCTGTCGCCACGAACAGCAACGCATCTGACACAAACGCGGGAATAACGGGCTCCGTCGACGGACCAGAACGCCCTCGGGTCATCCCTGCACGCAGGAGCCGCTATGGACACCATGACGAGAATTTGCAAATCATCCACCGCGAATACGAATCGAGAGTCCATGCTGTAGCTGCAGAGTTCATGGCGTGTCCGCAAACCAAAAGCCCGATCACATTCATGAAAGGGTACGACGCCCCTGTGGTCCATCGTGTTCGAGCAAGTGCTGACACAAGTCAAACGATGAATGGTTTCGTCGAGCTTTGGAGTTTAGGGCGTCGAATAGGGCAATGAACCGACCATGCTGCATGGCTGGATGACGCCATCCACCCTGCTGCTCGACTTGAATCCTTCGACACGTTGTCAGTGGGTCATGCATCCATCGCGATGCGGTGTTGCTCCGCTTCCACGGCATGACCAAACGCCGACCCCAAGCGCATGAATGTGACCAAATGAACGAGCCACCTTGTCCAAAACTGGAGCCAGGTGGTACTGAGTCACCAGGAAAGGTGGGGTGGAGTAATTGCCGACGTCTTTGTGCACTCCACTCATGTGCAATGGGCTAATCATTGAGCAGGGCATCATCTACAAGGACGCCTGGGGTGCGAGGCCGTGGGAGGTCGCTTCGCGGTTGAGCATGCATGGGGAAGGCCATGTCGCGTTTGCACATCGGACACGTCTATCAGCGTCCTGTCCTGAGTGTGTGCCGCATGCCGTGGAAACTCACTTGATTTTTATGGAGCCACTCGTCAATGCATGCGGGATGGAACCGATGGTTGCAGGGGAGTTGTCTCAAGTCTTGATCAGGCACGTACTCCACCTGGACGAAATGCCATCGGTCACCACTCGTCGCATTCCGACAAACGTACCAGACAGATGGGGCACATTTCGTCGGCTACATCCGCCGCTGGAACTGGCGCAAACTAACCAAAAAGCAACCTCATGAACATCACATTGCACTTGCCAAAGGGACGGATGGCCACACTGCACCTTGACAAGTTCAAAGTGATTGATGTCCTCCTGCGACAACCCGCGCGGTCGCACGACGTCCGACACGGCATGCCGGACCCCCTGCCACGACAACCACGATCACCTTGGCCACTGTCTACCATGCCTGGTCGCACCTGGTGTTGGTAGAGGCGCTTGTACAGGTATGCGATGAGGAAGATGCACGTGATGAAGAGCACGATGAACGCGAGCAACAGAAACAACAACGGATTCATGGCGTTGCGATCGCTGCTGATGTACGGTGACGACTCGGCCGGGAGCACTGTCGTGTTTCGCATCCACAGGTCGCCGTAGCAGTCCCGAAACTTGCCGCCGTACACTAGGATGTTGGACTTGTAGATGGCCATTCGGTGATTGAAGCGAGCGGTCAAAGTGGACTGAGGAGGCGCACACCATGAGGCCTGTCCGTCTCGGGCAATGGTCGTACCGCATCCGAGACGTAGTCGAACTTGAGATCCAACGCTGGGAGCGTATCGGTGGCGGCGTAAATGGTGTCGGGGTATGCAACGGCGTTGTCGACCTCAATGTAGTTGACGCCCCCGACCATCCACAGGCCTTGATGGGCATATACGACCCCGGAATAGATGCGGTCATAAGCGGGGTTAGCTCTCAAGGGAATCCAGGCCAAAGTCGCCTTGGCATCCTGGCAAAAAAGCACCGAGTTTCAACTGAACGAACGACGACATTCTCGTACCTCTTGCGACGCAGGCAATGGAATCATCCATGCATCGTCTAGAATGGACCACCTGTCTTGCAAAATGTGGCGGCCACTTAGAACCACCATGTGCTCGACATTCCCAACTACTCGCATGCCCATGAGGTTCGAATACATGGCGATCGCTGTTGTACGTGGTATGGTCGTGGCGGAATGGGAAAAGCGAGCGGCTGGCTTGGCGCTTCCGGGGGATGTTTTGAGCGCTGTCCACTGCTTCGTGGTAAAATCCAAGCGCCAGAGGTCGTTGAGATCGACAGGAGTGATCGAGAGGTTGGTCGGGATGACAACACCGCCAAATACGACCATGGCAGCGTCCCCCACCGTCACGGCCGTCGCCTCGCTTCGTGCCGATGGCCAATTCCCACTATCATCAGCAAGCGCCACCACCTCCGTCCATGTTTCGGCCACGGTGTCCAGCACCCACACGTCGCCTTGCTGAATGTACCCATCATCATAGGTCCATCCCAGAACCTGGTTCAACGCGCTTATGTTCAACGACATGCCGCCGTAAATGAACACTTCTCGCGTCGATGTTCGCACGGCCGAGACATGGTCGAATCGAAGACCAGGGTTGTCGGTCGTGACGATCGGAAGCCACACACGGTGCACCAAATCAAACTAGACTTGCATCAGGACATGACAAAGAGTACACGAGTTGCTGGCGCGACTATGTCAGGACCGTTTATTTAGCGTACCTTCCACGTGTCGTCGTAGATATTGTGGTCGCCGTCACCAACGCCGCCGTAGATGTACGCCGCGTCGCCGACGACTTCCATGATCGTGCTCTGTCGCCCGTCCGGCGCATCGAACGAGTCTCGTGCAAGTCGAGTCCATGTTGCGCTTCCGTCCACGACTACGATCCAAAGCAAAGCACGTTGAATCCGTCGAGTCGATCGAGAATTCTGTGTGTGCATGTACCTCGCCACAGCACGACCACCACTAGACCAAACACCGACGAGAGGGCGGCCATGAAATGGAAGCCGAGATAGCAATGTGGTGTGCTCCATCATCGGGCCATTGTCGAGTATTTATAGCTTGCACACATGCCTGCCTCGATCAACTCTTTCATATTCCAGGAGGCATGTCCGGCACTCTTTGTCTAAACATAGCTGTGCGAGGGCATGATCGATCATGGAGCAGGCTGTCGGCGACGATGAAACACGAGCCAATCGGACGATGAGGTCGTAGGAAAGTGCCAGCTCGATGCCAAGTGCTGGCTCCGTTTGGAGTACACGGACGGCTCGTGAAGAACGACGTTGTGACCGCGAACTTCGTAGTGGACCAAGTGCCGTTCCTTCCACCGGTGAAAGTCTTGGTTGTGGATCATTTGGAAATGGTGGTCGCGCATTTCGTCGTTCGATACAACCAATGTCCGCCCTCCCAGTTTGACCGCCGCATACAGCCAGTACCTACAACACCACATCACGCGCTTGAACCCAAGTACTCGAGTGCATACCAGTCGTCGTTGTTGCCGTACTCGCAGTTAAACATGGTTTTCTCGTCTTTCCACTGCTGGACCATCGCTCGATGCTGCGCCGGCACCTGGTTGTCCTTCGTGCGGCGTTTGTGAAGTACAATCAAAGGCGTCAGGCCCTTGGACTGGTACGCCTGCACAACTGTTTGGATTTGGCCGTAGTTGAAGCCCCCCCTACCCAGTTGCTAGCTTCAGAACTGCATACAACTGTCCGAGTGCCTTCATCCTGCGTACCCTTCAAAGTTTTGGTTGAAATATCCCACGTTCGCGGCGTCGATGATCACGTCAAACGGCCCATGCTCGTCCAGCCACGCCTTGAATGCAGCCCACTGCGCGACGCGCTCATCCGAGGTGCACACCAAGTTCTCGACCTGATCGTCGAAGAATTTTGAGCACAATGACGATGACCCTGAACAGTCTACCTTGGTCAAGAGTGCCTGTTGCTTTTCCGCAGAGAGCTCGACGCTTTGCAATGTCGAGCCCGTGACAGAGCAGATCCCTGCCTTATTCACTTCCCCAACGTTGCACAGCCATTTGTCCTTGTGAATTCCCGGCTTGCCAAAGAATTCTTTGAGGATTTGCCAAGTGCTCGGGCTGGGCACGAGGATCTCGTCGCAAAAAATTCCAAGCACTTTGTAAAACATGTCCAAATCGTTCAACGCTGAGCTCGCACCGAGCAGCGCGGCGTATTCAGCCTCCGTCGCGTCGATTCCATGATGAACGAGCTTTTCGTACACCCACCACGCTTGTTTCAGATCGAGGATCGATGTGAATTCGACTAAAAGAGGTGCAAATGTCCGCAACTTGGGAGCGACCTTGTTGTCCTCGAGTTCCGTGATGAGGGCCAGCGCGCGTTCAGTCATGTGTTGCTTGGAACAGAGCTTGATGAGAGCGCTATATGACGACTCGTCGACGGGATGCTTCTTGGACTTGGGCATGGCCGCTGCAGCATGAATCTTCATGTGTTCGTACACCTCGAACGCGTCGGCGACCAAGTTGTTTGCAGCCGTGGATTGCCCACAGATATTCAAGATGACTTGGTACAAGTACGTGTGCAGGGGCACCCCCATTTGCTTCATTTCGTGGAACAGTGCAAGTGCTTCCGGTGCATTGCTCGATGCAGCACATGCCTCGAGACGCTTGCGATACTCCAATTGCGTGAGCTGTTCTGGTGTCTGCGGAAAGACGAGGAAGATTAGTCCACACTACTGCATCAACACGCTCCATGTATGAACGTACAAGCTTCTTCAACTTTTTCTTCTTTGGGAGGTCCATCTCGGCGGCGGCCGACCGCTTCGTTCCTGTGACTGCTTCGTCCGCCATCGCGACCTTCAACTTCCACCAATATGGTGGTGGGTGGCAGCACGAATCCGGATAATTTCTTAGGCTGTAACCGGGAAATTTAATTTTCAAAAGTGATAGCGGTATAAAATTAGCAAATTGGTCACTCGGAGGAGAGAAAAGAGCGGCAGGACGGTACACCGACGACGACGACGACGACGATATGACAGCAAAGACATGCCGCGTACCGGGATGTCCTCGATTTGCGCAATGCGCTGGCCTGTGCATCGGCCATGGCGGTGGAAAAACGTGCAAAATTGAAGGCTGCTCGTCCACAGCTCAGGGCATGGGCCTCTGCTCGAAGCACGGCGGGAAAGCGTTATGCAGCGTCAAGAACTGCCAAAACAAGCGCGTTTATCGTGGCGTGTGTAAAACACACGGTGGAAGCCGCATGTGCACGTTCCAAGGCTGTTCAAACAAAGACGTTGGAAAAGGGCTGTGTGTATCGCATGGCGGCGGCACCAAGTGCGGCATGATGAACTGCGATAAGGTCGAGCGCGGTGGTGGGTACTGCAAGGCACATGGAGGTGGCAAGAAGTGTACACTGGCCGGTTGTGGATCGTGGGCGCCAAACGGAGGATTGTGTCCTGTGCACAAGAACCCGCCACCCGCCGCGATACTCCCGGACCCGGCCCCGTTGTGCCAAACCCCCGGGTGCACGAAAGTGGATGCTGGCAGTGGCATGTGCAAAGCCCACGGCGGTCGGAAGGAATGCATCGTAGAAGGGTGTACGAAGATCCAGCAAGCGAAGAAGCGATGTCGTGAACATGGAGGCAGCCGGCTGTGCGAAGAAGAAGGTTGCAACAAGACAGCGCAGTACAAAAAGCTTTGCAAAGCGCATGGCGGGCGGAAGCAATGCATCATCGATGGGTGCGAGAACGTCGTCAAGACTCGTGGGTACTGCATTCGGCATGGCGGTGGGACGAAATGTAAAACGGCGGGATGTGAAGGCATCGATCGGGGAGGTGGTCATTGCAAAGCACATGGGGGCGGCAAAAAGTGCACGTGGCAAGGGTGCTTCGTGTGGGTGTTGGGCGGAGGCATGTGCTCCAACCATTCGCATCAATCGACTCACTCAGCTGTGCTGGGGCTGTCTCCAGAAGACGTTGTGACGACCGCTCCGCACACCGCGACGGTTGGAGTGCATCCAGGCGACTTGGTCAACCATTATGCTCAAGCGTATGGCCACCATCCAGGCGTGATGGCGACGCAGGCGCCTCCGATGCCTCAACCGGTTTCAATGCCACAGCAAGCACAACCGCAACAACAGCAACAACAACCACAACAGCAATATCACGGCCAACCCACGTCTTTCCCGCATTACCAGCAAATGCAACAGCAATATCGGTCCCATCAAGCTGTAGCTGCAGCCGCGGCCGCCGTGGCGGCTGTCCACCAGCACCACCAACATCAACAGCAAATGCAGCAGATGCAGTACGGAAGCCACTCCGAGATGGACTTGCGAAGGCGGCTCTTTAGCGGGTACCCCGAGGGCGATTACCACTACCAGATATAGGTACTATCGAACGAGTCGTAGCATGTATATATGTCAAGTCGAACACAAGCCGAGTTGGACGAGATCGAGTTACGTCAGAAGTGATTCACTCTGGAGCACTCGACGATGCCGCTGCAAGTGTCGTCGTAACCTGGTGGTGTCAGAGGGCGTGGGAGGCTTCGCAGACGATGTTGCCTGAACATGGTAAGCACATGAAGAGTGCGCAAGGAGTAGCTCGACGTCGTGGGCACCATCCTGGCTCTGGACATCCTGGGAGATCGCACTTGTCAAGATGCCAGCGTCTCTCGTTGCTGGAGATCACCCCAATCGACGTCGTCTTCATGACGCCAGCTACATTCGACAAGTATGCACCACTTTCATTGCTTTCCTTTTTTCAATTCCCTTCGTCTTCGCGAAGGAGACGACATGGCATGACCTGTCGCATCCTGGCACACTGAATGCATCCAGCTGTATCTCCTCACCGAGGCAGCATAATTTTATTTATGTTAAATCTTAATACGTAGTATATACTTATGTATATACTTATTTTTTTGAGAATAGCTTATATTGAAATTCAATATATTCAATATAAATATAGTCATATGCGCGCTGAAACATCAGCAACGAGATTTTCCGAGCACACCGATGGAAGGACACCCAATGTGGTCAAGGTCTTCCTGCCAAGTCATGCCACATTCGTTTGACAGCACAAAGATGCACGTGGTTGCGCCTGTTGCTTCGGGCGTGGTAAAGAAGTGTCTGGCGCGATCGCGATGATACGCTGCTCGAAGACGTTTGGATGAGGAATGGAACTCTCTGTGACCGTGCAAGATTACCTTGGCAGATACACTTGGGTGAAAGAATGTAGTGCAATCATTCGTCCGAGCAATCCACTCGCCTCGAGCGCAAGCAGCGGGCGGTGCGCGACTACCAGCTGATCCCTGCGGCATGGGTGGTGCAGAACTTTGACGATGATGTAAGGTTCCAAGGAGCTCGTGGTCGCCACGACACCGCGAGAATTGGATGCCCGATGGCGCAGAGCATGAAAATGGCTTGTACGCGCTGGAATCTCGACTTCGACCCAAGGATCCAGCGCATGATCACGGTCGGAGTGCCAAATGCGCTGCTGCTCGCATGCGTCCACGTGCCGCGGCCTCGCTCGGATACGCTAGGTAGAGGCCATCTGCACATTTCGATTGCATGTGGGAAGATTTCTTGCTTTCGTCGATCGCCTCGAACGCGTGCATCCACCCACCGAAAACTATTCTGAATGAACATGAACATGCCTTTGCTATCGTCTGTGCCATGCTTTCGATTCTCGCGAAGACGAGCCTCCCTTGCCATCATCACGTAGGAGTGCCCCTGCGACCAATACAAACGTTCCACCAGTGCTTCAAGCCCACGACAACCGGACTGCACCATGCAGTCATTGCCAACCCTTGGCGACTTCTCTAGGCGCTGCTGCTCGAACGTTGTACGAGATATCACGACAGTTGATGGAACGAGCGGCTCGGTGGTGTGGGCAGCATGTGCCGCTTCGCTCGCCGTCGACACTACGACGATAGGAATTCAAACACCCCTAGGGATCGTTTGGGTCGTTTCCCGATAACTCTACAATTACTTTTTCAACTGCTTGACAATTTTCTGACGTCGACCTGTGGACAGCTTTGGCGCTCCGGCGAACGGCGTGAGCATGTTGTGCGCCGTGCTGTCGTCGTCACCACCCGAGTTGAACGATCCGTTGGCAGGATGGAGCGTTGTTCCGTTGCTCAGCAACGTGCTATGATTGCTCGACAACGTTGTGGAGTGGTTGACAGGGGGGTACGTGCCGTTGCCAGAGTGACTGCGAGGGGCCAGCGGTTTCTCGTCGGTCTTTTGGAAGCGCAAGTGGATGGGTTTCGGCAGCGTCTTGAGCATTTCCATCACGTCGTTGAAAGTCATGCCACTCGAATGACACGACGAGCTGTTGATATATCGCAACTGGTCGCCCACGACAGTGCTCGGGAGATGCGCCGCGCACCCGACCCCCGTGACGCGCGTAATGTACGGGTACTCGGACTTGTCGTCGGCGGCGTGCAACGACAAGCCAAGGGACCCGTCCGTCCACGACAAGTCATATTGGTTGCCTGGCGTTTGGATTGAGTTGGCGCTAGCCGAACGCATGACAGGGGCACCAGTCGACGCAGACAACCGGGTGGTCTGTGTCTGGATACCAGGAGCGTTCGAGACCGAATCCCTTCCAACGATCGAGTCTTTCTTGAAGCGAAGGGTCACAGGTCGCGGCACCTTGCGCAAGTACGTCACGATGCGGCTGTAGTCCATTTGGGTGACGTCAATGTCGTTGATATGGGTCATTTCGTCACCGACACAATCCTCTGGGAGATGTGCCGCAGCCCCCGTGTGGTTGGATCGTTTAATAAAGGCCCCTGTGGCGTGCGGGATCGCATCGATGGTTAGCCCCAGGGGGCCATCGGCACCCCACACGACCGAGTACGTTGAGGCAGGCGCTGGTGGCACGTCAATGTCCACTTCCTCTCCGTTCGTTTGCTGGAGCCACTTGGACGAAGGAGGAGGGGAGCTGCGGACGCTGGACGTCACCGCCGATTGATTCGATCGGACACAGTCAGTCGGTGCAGGAGGAGGGGGGGGCGCGACAACGGGGACTTCAGGAGCCGGCGAGGGCAGATTTCGCATGGGTCGGTCCGCTCGCGACCGTTCCGGCTTGTCACCACGGCTGGAGTGCACGTGGTTGGACTTTTGGGCCGATCGGAACTCGAGGAAGATTGGTTTTGGCAACGACTTCATCATTTCGACGATGGTTTCGAACCCAAGGGACGCCACACTCTGGCTGTTGACAGCGAGCAAAAAGTCGCCGACCTGGGCGTTTTCAATGCCGGGGGACTCGCCCTTGCCCGTCACACGCTTGATCACGGGGAGCTCGCCGGCGGCAAGACCCGGAATGATCGTGAGACCGAGTGGACCGACCGTCCAGTTGACTGTGTACACGGCTCCGGGAGTTGGCGAAAGTACAGGTGGAACGGAAGGGACTCCGACGTTTTTGGAACTGGGCACTCGAACGACTTCGCGCGACACTTGGACCCCGCCGGGTGCAGGAACGGCGTCGGGACCGCCCGAGCTGCTGCCGTGATTCCCACCAACTCCACGAAATGTAAGCGTAGCCGGGAGCTGCACCTTTTTCAGAACCGACATGGTGAGTGCACACCCCAGTTGGACCGTGTCGATGTTGTTGATGGCGCACAGTACGTCCCCGATTGCAATGTTCTCCTTGAGTGCGACCGACCCCGGCTTGCGTGTGAGGCGATGCACAATTGGTAGGGCCTCAGGCGATCCATCGTCCTTTAATGTGAGACCGAGCGGCCCGTTGCCCCACCGCACCGAGTATTCTTTGACGGGGTTGTTCAAGGGCTTTGTCGTGCTGAACTTGAGAATTAAGTGGCTGCCGTGGGTCATCTGCAGCATCTCTTGAATCATGCCGTCGTCGGTGGCGAGGCCCGCAACGTGCTGTCCATTGAGAGACATGAGGAGGTCCCCGACTTCGACGTGGGAGAACGACTCGTCCGCATCGACTTCGATCACCTTGTTCCAACTTCCGTCCACGTCGTTGCGGCCAAATTTGAGCTGAGGTAAGAACTCGAGCTTCCACACGACAATTTTCAACGATAGGAAGGCGGCGCACTTGTTGTTCCACGCTGGGGGAGGGCCCACTGCCGCCGCGTCGGCATGGAAAATTCGCGACGACGCTCCGTTTTCCAGCACTGGTGCAGCGTCCACAACGATGTTGCGGGTCGACGACGTCAAGTTGTCCCGCGAGTTCGTGAGAGGCATGCTGGTCGGCGCCGATACCTCGGGTTGCAGCTGCTGCTGTGGTGCAGGAGCAGTATCTCTCGACAAATTGGATCGCGACGACGGAGCTGGCCGTGAGATTTCCTGACCGAGAGTTTGTCGAGACGAATTGCTGCGGGAAAGACTTCCTTGGGGAAGGTCCCCGCCCCTGCTGCTCCCGTTGCTCGGCTGCTGCGTCTCTTCGGCGATCGACGTGATTTGACGTGACTGCAACAAACTTTCCCTCGTGATGCTGTTTTTTCGCGATCGACTGCTCGACCCGGCCATGAACATGTGACCCATTTCTTTTTGCAGTCGGTTCTTCACCTCCATGGCAATGCGGTTCATGTCGGCGTCTGTCCAGTTTGCATTTGCTTGTGCCATCTGCGCCTCGATCGCTTGCGCGATGCGATTCTCCTCTTGCTTCTTGAGCCGTCGGATGACCTTCTCCATCTTCTCCTCAATGCGGCGATCCATATCCGAGTCTACTCGAATTCGGGAGCTACTACCACTGCTCTCCTTCTTCTTCATCGCTGCGCCACCCTTGCCGTTAGCGGTCGAGGATGCTTTGCCTTTTGACACAGGCGGCGGAGGCCGAATGTCTTCGTCACTGGAGTCCCCGGACTCGTCGTCGTACGATTCGTCGCTCGAATCGTCTTCCGCTACAGAAACACCGTGTTATCGCCTCGTGTCGCCCGAAGAATTTGGCACACGTGAACGTACAATCACTGTCATTAAACTTGGAGCACCGAAGGTTGCGACATTGCAACCGATGCGATGAGGCGTGGAGCATGTTGCATTCCTAAGGCATCCCAGGTCAACGTCGAAGTCGGTGTGTCAAGGAGAGCGTCGGAGTCGTTGACATACCCGCGAGCAGTAAAACACTTGGTCGCAACCGCTCATGCACGGGATTTGTGCGCCGGGTTTTCCGCAGTTCCCACAAGGCTCACTCATCAGCAGTGCCTTCATGAGCATGTCGTCGTCGTCATCATCGTCATAACCTCCTCGATGGCGTGAGGACATGGCGGCGGTGAGTGAGTCGTCGGCGGTGGTCGGTAATCGGACTGGGCTTGTGAAGGGGGCTTGCTGTTTCTACACAATAGTTTGTATTGGACTGGCCATTTGGCGATGGGGGTATTTGATTGGTTAAAATTCCGTATTTCAGGTCCCCCACTGATATCCTAGCAGAATAACGCCACCAAGCCCTTCCATGCGCACGCATCGTTCCTAACACATGCGCAGCACATCACACATCAAACAAGCGGAAGGGAAGTTCTGAACGTCCGTATACCGTCGTGGAGCCGCTGGTGCGTGATAAGCTGTCGAAGACACCCCTCGACCGAACAGTGAATTCCACGAACAGTTCATTCGGATTGGCTAAAATTCCTGTGTTTCTCCCACTGTCGAGTAATGTGTGCAACGCATGCAGAGGCTGTTGAGAGTGCACGTGCCAAAGTTGGGGCGACTCCGGGGGGGAGGATGCCCATGGCGTCGACCAGGGGGCTTCGATGGACAAGGCTGCATTCGATCGTCCGCATTCGAGGGGACGGTATGCTACATGGAGGGGACACTTGTTTGGCGGCAGCGTCGTCAGATAACAATTCTCAGACTCACCATGCGCTTGGCATTGGTGCACAAGGGTGGCGTCCATGGCGGGAACGAATCGCCAAAAGTACGTGATGCGAGCAGCGGAAGGGGGTTGGAGGGTGGCTCCATTTGCCCACTGTCGTTCTTACTCTGGCCGTCGTTTGTGTACATTCCCAAAGACGGCCATGGCGTGCCAGTTGTAACAACAGAGCAGAGTAGGGTCGTGAGTAACCCTGGCGTGTACACAGACTCTCACGGCGATTCAGTGAACCAGTGCGAGGGTTGGGAGCGACGTGTTGTGTGCTGCATGGCGCGCAAGCGACTTGCTCGCCCAGATCGTTTTCCGTCATGATACAAACCTTGGCGGCCGGCGATGTTCGCAAATCAAGAACGATTCTCTCACTTGTGCGCCGAGAACGCGCTCTTTTGTGCCGCTGAACAGAGGAGATCAGGCGAGTGTCGGAGCTGCCCCATACATGAAATCCACCCACAATGGACTTGCATCGTCTCTCCGGCACCCCAACGAAGGGGATTCGTTGCGGTGGTCGGGTTCTCCCAGGCGATGCCTTGCCTGCGTGCTTGAAGTTGCAGGCTCCATCCAAACCTGGGCGTTTTATCCGGATCATCCGGAAACCCAAGATACACTTGTCGGTGGTGAACGCTGTTGGATGGATCCGTCGAGTGCATCCGCCACGATGGAATCGCTGACGGGGCACACGGTCGTGATCACGGGAGGAGCATCCGGTATTGGACTGGCGCTGGCCATTCGCTTCCTGCAAAGCGGGAACACTGTCATCCTTGTTGGCCGGCGACTTGCGAAGCTCCAGGAAGCGAAAGCCGCCCACCCCGGGTTCCACATTGTGGTCGGGGACGTCGGGACACCTCAAGGACGTGAAGCGCTGTTCTTGCTCTTGACCCAGGAACATCCTTCTATTGACGTATTTGTGAACAATGCTGGCATTCAGCGGGCTATGGACATCACGCAAGGTGTGACCCCCGACTGGGCTACAATCGAGAGCGAGATTAACATCAACTACACTGGTGTTATTCACACGACGCTGCTGTGGACCCCTTTCTTCCTCAAGAAACCATTTGCCGCGTTTGTGAACGTCACGAGTGGACTGTCATTCGCCCCCCTGGCCACGGTCCCTGTGTATTCGAGCACGAAAGCCGCCTTGCACTCTTATACGTGGTCCTTGCGCTACCAGCTCGCCAAGACGCCGATCAAAGTTATCGAAGTTATTCCCCCCGCCGTCGACACGGACCTGCAAGCACCTGGCTTGCATACGTTCGGTGTGAACGTCGATGAGTTTGCCGACTCGATCTACACCCGTTTGGAGGCAGGCGAGGTAGAGATTGGATATGGCATTGCCGAACACAGCCGTACGGCGTTTCGTCAGGCTTTTGGTGAAGGATTTGAGTTCCTCAACGCCAACTATAAGTCGTAGCTTGTGGTAGTATTGAATGGAAGTTCCAGGCTGCTCAAGAAAAACTCGACGCGTCGGCTCGGTGGCGCAATACAGTCCCTCCCTTCCCGGTTTCCATGGTCAATACGGGCAACTCCCCTTGTTCTCTTTCCAGACGAAAGCTGTGGCCTATGCATGACGATATCCCCATACTCACGACTTCTATCCATGAAGTCATCCCCGCAGACTAAAGTCCCGCGTGCTTCGGCAAAGCGTCATCGACAATTCTCGTCGACCGCTCGCGTCGGCACATCAAGTCCAAAGGTGGACAATATTCTATCCGGATAATACGACATCGTATCTTAATATGCGGACGTGAGATTTCCCGCGAAATTGTCGACGGGAGGATGCCAGGAAGTCCGCCATCGATGCTGATGCTCGTTCGCGCAGCCTTAAGCTTCTACAACGCAAGGAGGCACCCGCGCGTATTTCCTCAAGAATGCTTCGAGAAACACGTTGTTGGTAGGTGTATGCTCACTCAGTGATCTGATGATCTCATGCTTCCCCAGCGGATATCGAGACATACGTGTTGAGGCGGAAGCACCTCGGGCAACATAAATGTGCTCAGCGCCTTCATGAAGTATACACGTACAACGGACATAATTTTCCCCCACGTCGTGCGTAGGTTGTCGAGTATGGTATTGGTGAATGCTTCGAGCACGAATGCGTCCAGCAAGTTGCCCATATCGTGCAAGACGCTTCGTCGAGTATGATCTTGGAGATGCTGACATTCGACTTTGTGGAGACGGATTCAAGTTCGTACTTGGCACACTCAATGACCAACAACACAGTCATCCTAGGAAGCAATGCGTCCATCACGAACAGCCATGAGCTCCTGTTGGCGTTCCTCCGCACGATGGAGCTTGTCTTGGAAACAGTGCGTTCAGGACAATTTGAAGGAACACGGGAAATTGTATTCCTATAACTCGTGTCCATGCGTAGCTCCCTCAGCTACCTCCAGCCGTTGCTTTCGACGTGAAGATGACCTTCCACCCAGGTTTTCCATTACCAACCCTGCTCGAAGTTCACCGCTCGTTCTCCAGACAAGCTGCCATATGCCACATGGCGACCTCCATATTGCGCGAAAACGACGTCGAACACCCCTGCAATCGCACTCGATGAGGTCGATCGCATTGACATTGGCACGTTAAAGTCGAGTACGTACGGCAACTGTCGCGTGTCACTGCAGACACGTCGCCAAATTTGCTGGACGACCTTTTCCAACCACGTAGCAATTCCACCACGCTTCCAACAAGTAACTCACTGCTAGTTTGCTCCGATACAATAAGCGTTTCCGTGTTCAGACGAAAGAGTCATGGCTAGCCAAGGTCAAAGCCGTCGTCATGGAATCGACAAACCCAACGCTCAAGCACGTCAAGAAGCGTCTGCCTGCGCTGCGCCATGACATAGCGCAGTGGTGCTTCCTTCAACTTGTTGACGAACACGTTCTCGAACGCCAGGGGCGAAGCCATCGGTAATGAAATACCGGCGAAATCGCCGCTCATCTCCTCGACAGGTATCGAATGCGACCTGCAATGCACGCAAGCCCCCCTGGCGCCTCTCCCAGGGAAGGATCTAGCCCGCACAACGAGTCTGACGTCGAAACGTTGACGCTGGCGGGAGCGCTGCTGACAGGGCAACCTGAGTGCAGTATTGTCCAGTACGGCGCAGACATCGTGGCATTTGCGCAGGATGCTATGCCAAGGACAGGAGTTTGTGATGGACTACGGCAGTGAAAACTTAACCGACGGATGATGCGCCATTGTGACGGTTGGCTGAAGATTTTTCAGGACGATTTCAGTATGCTAATACAAATATTGAGTACATCGCAGAGTGTGACGATCTTGAACAATCCGTTGCAACTGTTGCCACAACGATGACAGCTCGTTTCGTGGCATTGTGCGACTCGACACGAAGATGGCATTTGGGACCCCCGAGGAAGGATTACGCGCAAGCGCCGAGTGCCCAGTGTATGCCCACCCAGCGTTTTGGGCGGGGCTGCCAGACACAACGTTCCCTTCGTATGGCACTCCTGCATCGGTGGCCGCGGATTTGATTAAAGACGACCTCTCCCTCGACTGCAACCCCAAAATGAACGTATGGTGCTGCTTTTGGGTGTCGTCGCTGAGTGCGGTCTTTGTTGTAGCTGGCGTCCTTTGTGACGACGTTTATGGAAGCAGAAGCCGAAGCGATCTTGTTTGAAGGAATGCGGAAGAATTTTATCGATTTGGACCAGTACCCGCAATCGGCAGACATCCACAAGCGATGCGTTGCGATGCTGGCGGACCTGTACCATGCCCCTGGAGACCCCGTGGGGACCAGCTGCGTCGGATCGTCGGAAGCCATCATGCTGGCTGGACTGGCCATGAAACGCAAATGGCAGCACCGACGAAAAGCCAAGGGCCTGCCCACCAGCAAGCCCAACATGGTCATGGGGGCGAATGTGCAAGTATGTTGGCACAAAATGTGCCAATACTTTGACGTGGAGGGCCGTGAAGGTATGTTGGTGTCGCCCTCAGTCCGATACCATGTCTAAAACTCAACTGTCCAGCCGATGTCTCGCCGGATTGCCTCGTGCTGACCCCCGCACGGGCCAAGCCGCTCATTGACGAAAACACGATTGGCGTGTGTGTTGTTCTGGGCAGCACATTCAACGGCGAATTTGAAGACGTGCAAGGTGTGCACGATCTGTTGATCCAGCTCAACTTGGAGCATGGCTGGGACGTGGGCATTCACGTGGACGCAGCGAGCGGGGGGTTCATTGCGCCGTTTTTGAACCCCGACCTCATGTGGGACTTTCGATTGCCCCTTGTCAAGTCGATCAATGTTAGTGGCCACAAATTTGGTCTGGTGTATGCCGGAATTGGGTGGGCACTGTGGCGAGAAACCAGCGACTTGCCCGAGGACCTGGTATTCCACGTCAATTACTTGGGGGGCGACCAAGCAGCGTTCACACTCAACTTTTCAAAAGGCGCTGGCACGATCCTTGCTCAATATTACAATTTCATTCGCATGGGGCGCCAAGGGTACCGGCTCATTATGGATGCCGGCATGAGCACGGCCGAATACTTGCGATGCCGCTTGCGCGAAACCGGTGCGACCAACAGGGTGCTCGTCTGTGGCCATCAGGAATGGGCTCATTTGACACCTTCGTTGTAGGCCACTTTGACATCGTCGACAAAGCCCACATGCCCCTGGTCGCGTTTAAGTTGAAAAAGTCGGACAAGTACACGTGCTTTGACATTCAAGATAAAGTGCGGTCCCGAGGGTGGATTCTCCCGGCGTACACGTGCCCTCGTGGAGCCGAGTCGCTCGTGATCATGCGTGTCGTGGTGAAGCAAAACTTTACTCGCCCCATGGCCGACATGCTTGTCCAAGACATCACTCGCGCGATTCACTTTCTCGAGTCCCCTCGCGTCCAGCGATCTAAAGTTGTCCCCACCACAAAACACGACTCGAAGCTTGCCCTAGCGATAGGCCACAGCACCAAGCACCGCAAGTCTGGCCTCCGCACACATGGCGTGTGCTGATTGGCATTGGAAACCGACATATTTCATATACCGCGGTAGTGTAACTGGCGTGTAACGATGAATCGCTCGACCCGAACGGTTTCGTGGCGTCGTTGGTGATGTCGACGCAGTCCCCGCGGCCATTCGTGTCCCTTAGGGGTGGCTCAGCACGCACTATTACAATTCCGTCGCCAAGTCATCACCGCACTGTTCCCTCGCTGGCACGGACTGTCCGCTTCGCAGTTGATGTGGCTAAAGGAAAGCGCACACGGCCACATCCTCGAGATTTCGACACGCTTTCCCTCGACCAGGTGCAACGTGCTTGCAAATTGGAATGCGACCGAGGGACGGCGCACTGAACACTACTCTGCAGGACAATGGGCTCCAGAGCGAGCCATGCGACGTCCCACCGTCTTTGGTGCGAACATATACCACGAAACCCACGATTTCGTCCAAGCAACTTCAGCAGCTCTTGCGGTGGGCCAACAGTCTCAAGGCGTGGCCGGAAGAAGTGAGGATGACCCCTGCACACGACGGCTCGAGTCATGCATGTCTTCTGTGTCTCATGTAGATTACCGCCAGCAAGATGCCAAAGCAAATGCAAAACGGCGTGCTACTTTGCTATCTCGTCCACGTGCTCGTGCCAGACTTTAGCTTGATCAAGGTCAACCCAAAGGCCAAGTCGTTTCGAGCTGCCCAGCTCAACTTGGAAGCCATCCTGCAATGCTTGAGCCGGTAAAAATGCCACAGATTGCTTGGACATTGAACGGCGTGCGTGTAGGTTTTCTACATGTACTCGCAATCTCCTCACGCCCGAGGCCATGTGGGCCGGCGACCGCACAGCATTGGCGGTGTTCTTGCAAGAGCTCCTGCACAAAGTCGCCGTCCGACGCGTTCCCGTCCAAGCCATCCGATTGTGGGCGCAAGGGACTCTGCAGAAGTATGGCATCGCTTGCGACGAAGCCACGTCGTGGAATGTCCTGGAAGACGCTGCGGTGGGCCTTTGGGACGCATTTCGGTGATGTTTTCATTCCGCGACACACGTGTTTACGTTTGGCGTGCAACAGAGACGGGGTTCGGCTGTGGTGCCTTCTACACTACTATGGGTACGACAATTCGCCGGCCCGGGAGCACTTGTTTCAGATGAGTCGCGTCCATGGCTATCCCAAGGTGTGCACGTGCGATGACACGATATTTTCAACGAGTCCGGCATGAACTGACGGTTCAATATGGATTGGAAGGAGCGAAACGAAGCCCAAGAGAACGGAGCGATCGTGTGCTCGGTGCTTCAGCACTTTGGCATTCCAGTGGTGTGGGATCTGTCCACCGCCTCGACCCACAAAAGCCACGCGTTTGTCCTGGTGCAATTGCACCATCTGTACGAATGGTGGGTGTGACGACTCTTCCAACAAACTCATCAACGCATAGCTTGCACGACAAGGTGACGCCGCTGACATCGAGCCCCGACCATCCTGTTTATGTCGTCCACGACGAATTCAACGGTGTTAGAGTTCATGGTAAGCGAACTCGTCCATGCATCCACTGATACCATGTGTCTGCTCAGGGATACATTTCGCCGACTCGAGTGATGTCGAGTACGCCGATCGCGACGACGTCGAGATGCGTCTGCAGTTTGCCGAGCAGCGACCCATGGGGAGGTCCGAGCTCGTGCCCCGACGACATGCCAGCGCTTCCCTCGTTGCTCCAGAGTCGACAGAATTATATGGTCCAGAGGATGCACCTCCAGGTCCTGCGAACTCGGCAGTGGAAAGCTTTCCATGGGATGAGTACGTCCGGCTCAAGAGAGCCATAGCCGCTGAAGAGTCAAGTCGAATGAACGACGAAGAAGTGTGGGGGGTGTCAAAAACCATCGAAAGCTGAAACATGAAGGAGCTATATCAAGACAGTGTATTTATGCCGATGGTACCGAGGACTTGCCAGTCGCGTTCAAATACGCTCGCTTGATCATGGGGGTCGTGGCAATGCACAACGGCAAGCGCACAGTCTCAAGGATTTCGTTGAGCAAGACAGCGATCGCAATGTTGCCGTACGTCGGATTGAGCTTCTCTGTGTCGATGTACTGGTCAAGACCGAGTGACTGGATCATGTGGATTGCATCTCCGCCACCAATGTACCCGGCTTCGAGAGCGTAGTAGATGCCAACACCACAACTGCCGTACAGGGTTACCCACCACACAACAAACGGCAAACCGTTTTCCTGCACCATGGCAAGGAAACCCTTCTTCTTCGCCTGCGCCTTCAACTTTTCCAGCTCGGCCTTCAGGTTGGCGTTTTCGGCCTCCAACTCTTTCTCACGTTGACTCGACGTGGAGAACGCATGCGAATGCGGAACCGCATACGGCACAACGAGGCGCGTGTGGAGCATGCTACCTCGTATCTGGGGAAGCACGAGCTTTGCAGCTGATGCTCCATGCTTGGCAGATCGACCGACCAACAACGACAGCATGATGCTTGTGGCTCCACGAACGACGTCGACTTCCGAGCTCGAAGAATGGCCAGGAGTAGATCCAATCATAACACACAAATGCTTGTAGTTTTAACCAATCCGATGCCAAAGAGACACCAGACCTTTTTGAGCGATCGCTCGAAATATATCGCAGATGGACTGCGACATCGTCGACAGTCCTGGCCCCTGCCTGCGTTGCAATGCACACTGCCGGGTCCAGACGCCGCAGGTCTTGTTGTCGGTCCAAGCAACGGAGTTGGCCGTTCCCGGACTCACTCTGCCATCGCCCGCGTCCCAGTTTGTCATTTGGCGGTGGCGCGTCGGAGCGACGTGGCGCGACAAAGTGGCGTTGCCGAATCTGGCGACGGGCATCATGTTCGAAGCATCGACGTAGTATAGGATCAAGGCCGTGAACTCGCCGACTGTGTGATAGTGTACTATCATCGATGCCAAACGATCTTGAACGTGGACGAGTGCTTTCAGGGGAATTGCAAGTGTGCATTGCCTTGCGAATCCTACTGGGACAGTGACTTTGCTGCGCTCACGCTTCGGTACGACGCCATCGATGTGCAGACACAGGTGCTGATGCGGAGATTCCAATGGAGGAAGTGCTCGTGGAAATACGGATCATGGACCAACATCATCCAGTTTTCGTCAACGACGCAACGGTGCCCGGCGTCACCAATGAAGTCGTTTGGGGTCTCGGCGTTTCGGGGCTTTAGGGTGTGACGTCGATTGCCCCCAAGGTGCTCGACCGACCCAGCGTCGGCGTACTGCGACGTAGCGTTCACGAGCACGGCGACTTGTCGAGTGATCCTGTATGCGGGCGACTTCCATGACGAGTCGGCCGTGTACAACGCGGGGGGCTTCGACTTGAATCGGACACTTCCTCTTGGGCGTCAAGATATTCCTTGTGACACCGGGGCTCGAAGTCGTGACCTTCAAGCAGTTGAGCCAACGAGGAAGAGAGTCCGACGTGTATCAGTTCAACACGTCCCTGGCCAACTTGACTACAGCTAGAACCCCAAATATTGAATCGTACGGACGGCCCAGTGACAAGCATGCTTGTTGTGTCGATGGGGGCGTGATCCACCGGCGCGCTACATGGCTTTTGACGGTGGGCAAGTACAACGTGCGGCAGACATTTCTGTATCGTCGCTGCGCGTTGGGAACGGCTACGAAGTGACGGG